TCTCAAATGATTCACAACTGGTTCACGCAATAGTTTAAAAAATCGATAGAAGACTCAAAGTCTGACACAGGTAGAAATTCGAATTAGAGAGCAATTTGGGCACAACCCTCACTTTACCATATTAATGAGCGCACGCTCTAGACGACTTCGAAAGCAAATCACGATAAAATTGGTTTGTGAGATTTATGGCTCCCAAAGATAGCATGCTGGACATTTTCGAAAGACAAACGACCGCGACAGACCGGTAGGACTTCAAAACCGACTTGACCGAGCCAACGCTAACTACACGTCCAAAAGTGGCCACGCACGACGACAATACTAAGCTCAGTTTGGAGTCACCAAGACGGTTACAGACACGCAATCTCGTACAATCCCCTTCCTACTACTCTTTCTCTTTTTCTCCACCACTTTCATGCTAGTTTACGCCATAGATTCCACTATTTCACTTAAACAAGATATATCAGAATTTTCGTGAATTGTGCCTTCATAGTACATCGTTAGTGTCGATGGAGGAATGAAACCCCAAACCAAGATAAGGTCCAGTAGTCGTCAAGCAACAGTTCATAAACTCGGAGCTCACAAATTCAGCTTTTCGAGAAGGAAGGTGAAGATGTTGGAAGTTGCAGATGTATTCTACTACTCATTATTTTTATGAACTTATACCCGAGTGTATTTGAAAAGTGTATGAGTAAAGTGCGCAGTAGTGTATGACAATGGGTAAGAGTACATTTACAACATTCCTCGATTTCGCTCATACAGTTGAGAAGCTTTCTTTTGGAATTTATCCATCCCAGTGCATAACCTGCACCTATAGACTCTGTTGAACTCACCAGTGCTCAATTTCTTGTTTCCCGCTATTCTCACCCCTAGAGTGGGGCCTTATCAGGTAACAACGATTTCTGCGACGGATAGACAGACAAGAAGGCAGGCAGACAGACAGGCAGTTGAAGGCACAGTTCACGATAAAAATGGTTCTAAAATTACCTTGTAGTATGAATTTGGTCGCTTTCAGACTTCGACGACCATCCGTCCGTCCGTCCGTTCGACGTGTGCGTGCTGCGACGGCGGTCGCCAGAGTAGTGTTGACAGCGCTGGCACGTGACCTAGTGTTGTCAACAACGGTCAGGCGCTGCCGTCGAGGCACGCACGCGTTGGACGGACGGTCGGATGAGTCGTTGAGGTCTGAAAACAGCCTTTGAGGCTCCCCTTTATACCTCACCTGCCATTATAAGGTGGAAAAACGTCTTGTATAGTACACAATGAGGGGCCGGAGATTGCATTGTGGGAACGCCAGGGACATTGTGAACACTCATAGTGGACGAGCTTCAACGGCGTTGTAGAGCACTATCTCGAGCGACTCTCATGTAGTAAGTTCCAACAACTTCTCAGACGACAGTGAAAGGCAGTTTCGGGAAATTTCTGCTTGATGTAGTCGGTGTTTGCGCAGTTGGATCAAATGGAATTTCGTCCAAACACCTCATATATGCCCTTCCCGTCATGGTGATCTATCACAACTCTATTTCCACTACTTCAAAAAGCCTTGTTTTCTGCAATTTTCTTGCTCTCTTCGAAACCGATGTACGTTCTACATCAACATTTCCACTTCTCAACTTAAAAATGCTACTTTGAAATTATCCGGAACTGTGCCTTTATACAGACGGAAATAGACAGATGGGCAAACAGACAGGGGCGACACAGGGACAGATAAGCAGATTAAAAGCCAGAAAGAGCTCTTTGAATAATAAGAATATCAATAACTCCAACTTGCGAAGTCTCTAAGCAGTCGATGCAACCAGTTAATCAGCTTGGGTGTATGTCGTTTGGCGTGGTCCTTGGCAGCCATTTTTCCATAGGGGCGCATGAGCTTCAGTTGCCATCCCCCATACAGCGAAATTTCTACGCCGACCAACTCGTCCAAATCGGCCAACCTCTCAAATTACGATCAACTATCGGTCTAATTAGAGCTGTTTCGCACCCAGATGCGAGACGAACCTGATTAAGTGTGAAAACTTAGTGATCATGCATTAATCCAGTAGGAAGTGAATGAATTGTAACGAATAATAGTTTGAGAAGAAACAAAACTATTAGGTTATTGGTTTTAGAAGTAATTACGTGCATAGGTGTAGATGTAATAGTTAAAGGTACATCCAACCATTTCTCTTCACGGTAAACAAGCATTTAGATGATCACTTAAACCCCTCCTCGCGTAAAATGCTTGAAGGGGTTATTGGTACGGCACATACCTTTCGAATGATCATAAATCTCCTCCACTTTTGATTTCATAGCCTTTACTTTATATGAGGTGTGTGCATTAATTTCCGCCACCGAATGCCAAGTGCCGTTGCGCGAACCATGTAAGAGGTTTACCGGTGAAACCTGTCATATTCTGTAAGGTAGGGTATGGGCTACCTATTTAAGGGCAGACAGATCAGTTTTCCCCAAAATTCTGTTGCTATCAGACTGACTGGTCATGGAACGTGATAAACCATTTCCCGGGGTGGGCCTTTTCCTGCTGTTTGATTTTAAGAAAACTTGCATTGAGCCCACCGGATGCTTTTTTGGAAGATAAGCTTCGTCTGAACGAACCTGCTGAGATGGTTTCCCTTCACTCGGGAGTTTGCAAAAAAACGGAGTGTCCGTTGCCAAAAAGTAATGCTGCGTGTGCATTTGGTGGTGGGATCAAAAGGGCGTTGCATATTATGAGCTGCTGAGCCCGAACGAAACTAATATTGCTGACCGCTACGAACATCAACTTGACAGCTTGTAGGATGCTTTCACCTACATACAAGCAGCCGTTAATCGCGAGGAAATATCATGAGGTGTTGTTACACCACGAACATGCCAGACCTCATGCCAGACGCGGCACACATGTGTCCCGCGCTCATTCCGCAATTTTTTTGCGCATGCCTGATTTATTCATATGTTTTTTTGTGTTTATATTATAGATCAAGCAGTAGCAAAGCTATAAACAGAATGGTCCATAAAATGATCAGATATGCTTCATCCTCCTAGGTTTTCCAAGTCTCACAAAATTATGAGCCTACTTCAAACATCGACACTTTTATTGAGACCAATAAGCAAGTGAAATGAAGACATTGAAAGCAAACTATTGAACTTGAGCTTTCACAGCATTAAGGGGTTCTAGCTTTATGTTCTGACATAGAACTAGAACTCCTTAATGCTGTTAAAGCTCAAGTTCAATAGTTTGCTTTCAATGTTTTCATTTCACTTGCTTATTGATCTCAATAAAAGTGCCGATGTTTGAAGTAGGCTCATAATTTTGTGAGACCTGGCCGAGTTGTGAAGCATCTTTCGAGTTTTCTTCTCCCCCAGCCATTTTCATGTCTGTATAAGCTCTTGTTGAAGCGGAATATTTATTATACAGAACCCTTTTGTGTTTTTCATTTTATTAATCAACTTACTAAGTAGCGATGTGTCGTTGGAGGTAGTTTTCACTCTCGAGCTCCGAAATCCCGCGGTCGACAGGGCCGCAAATACTGCGTCGGTCCCACGTCGCCAAAAATGCCCAAACGCGCGTTGTCGTCAACGTGTTTAAAAAATTGCAGTTGTTGGATAGGATCAGCTTGTTCAGCCCGCATACTCTCCGGATCTTGCTCTTCCTGATTATCACCTGTTCCGGTCCATGCAAGTCAGTTTGGCAGATACACGCTTCCAGAATCCCGAAGAATCGCGAAAATGGGTGGATAAAAGGATTGCCTCAGAAGATGAGGACTTTTTTAGACCCGGAGTCAACAAGATATCAGAAAGAAGGAAAGAAGTTGCGGCTAGCGATGGGCGATACATTGGTCAATGTACATCTGGTTTCAATTTTGTAATAAATATGTTTTTGCACGCAAAAAACGGCAGAAATTAATGCTTACACCTAATAAATGGAACCAAGGTCGTAGCGGATTCAACCACTGCCCAACCTCTGGGTAAAAAAGAATAGCTTCAAAAGAATATGGAAAAGGCTGTTGAAATTCTAAGTACAAATGGAGAGAAAGTGGTAATTGATACCTTTCAAGATATATTGAATCTTTTTCGAGTTGCTGATTTGCTATGAACTTGAATGACTCCAAAGTACTGATGTGATTGCAAAACACCGGAATGGGTGAGTCAACTGAATATTCAACTCATACCCCAACCTAACTTCACGGCCGGCTACCCATTCTTTTCTGCAGTAAGGTCCCCAATGTTGAATAAAAGCGAAGCCTAACTACCCACCCATCTAACTACATATTCTAACCACTTTGTAAAAAATGGAATGAGACTCGGCGGCCACGCGGCCCGCCTGGTTACTAATACAAGTTGCATAAAGGGATGGATGAAACTGATAACTCTTGGAAGTCTTTACTATTTTCTTCGTAACCATTCGATTAATGAGGACGATTGGAAAGTTTTATGACCCCTGAGCCTTCGCTCCATAATCAGGGTCGCCTCGCACCTATGTGCAAAGACACTCTAATTAGTTGGACAGTTGATCGTAAACCGAGAGGCTTCCTAAATTGGACGAGTTGGTTGCCGCAGAAATTGCGTTGTATGGGTGGCAGTTAAAGCCCATGCGCCCCCATGGCAAAGTGGCTGCGAAGGGCCGCGCCAAACGACCGCTCCCCAACAGCTTATTCACAATTATAATAGTTGGTAAAAGTAGAAAAATCCTTCTCACGATCCATTTTTCATTGCGCCTAGTCATCCAAGTCATTGGAAAGCGATGCAACTGGATATGGATTCCAATAAGAGAACGTGTCTACTTTTGTCCCACAGATACGTAAGTGATTAATCGTTAGCCAAGGAAAAAGTGAATGCAGTCGCTCCGCATAAAAAAATTCGATCTTGCTATTACATGGAAACAGTTTTGAATACGCAGCGTACAACTTTGACCAAAGTCCTAGTTGGTTTGTAATGTGTCCAATAAACATTAGAAGGTGCTCTGAGCAATTAAAGAGGAACCCAGTTCGATCTGAATTGGCGATTTAAATTACAAATCCACCATGTTGAGCTCATATTTCTGTAAATTTAAGTAATAGAAATGGATACCGTAGAGAGATATCTGGATCAGGAGTGCAAGTCTCGATGGGCTTCTCAGTATGGAATGAAGCGAGTCGAGCTGTCGGAACAGAACTGGACTTCGTTTCCATATGCTCATCCATTGCACACTCCATTATATGAGGCCCTGGCGTGGCAGTATGAGTTTGCTGCGCTGTTGCACAATTCATCTCGGTAAAAAGTTGATGCGTGATAGCTGAATTCCGTAAAATTAACACAAAACCAGGTCCTGATGCAATATCTCTATCAATTTTTGTTGAACTCTACGAAACTTTGAACTTACAGCCATCCGACTTCGAAGCAAGTTGGCTCCGCCGTGTGTTCAGTATAGTTTCTTCAAGACCTCTTAAGTGAGCGGGTATACGCATTTCTTCACCAGTGGTATCCTCATATCGTTGACTCAGCAAAGTAACTGAAAACATTTGATGAAGAATAATAATAATAAAGAATCTATGGCTGGTTGATGGCGAAGCTCGACGCCACTTCGGGATAGGGAAATAAGTCGTCGGCAAAAGTTATGGGTACTGGTTAAGAGACGTGGGTGGGTTCAGAGCGTGGACTCCCTGTTTCTGCTCTGTTCCGTCGATTTATAATCCTGCTTCCTCGCAATGGCACCCATGAGGGGGAATAAACAGTTATTTGAAAAGAAAATAAAAGATTTTTTCCTTAATTGATATTTCTATTACACGACTCTCTTAACTATCTAACTCTATCTGCGCCATACACCCGGAAAAAGTTTATCTGCACCCTATTTCTAAAGCGGTAATAAAATAAATGGCCTCCTGCTCCTGGAATGGGAACTGGAAAAGCTAAACTTAGAAAACCGGAATAACGACTGGAGAACTTCACATCGGGAATCACGCAACGAAGTTAGCATGTGAAAATTCGTCTGACAATAGAAAAACGCTAAATCCTCGAGGCCGATTGGTACGAGATGTATACCATACTGTATACTTCCGAACGTTGATCTTGAATGCAGCGATGGCGCATTGGTAGGAGGGCAGATTCATAGGCGACGTGGTCTGCTTGCATCTGAGTTTAGGTCCCTAATGCAGATGCTCATTTCGATTTCCATTTTTAGTATTAAACGCTTGCGAAATCTTACAAAGCTGCAAATACCGCACAAACAGACAAAAAAGCAATATTATGGAACGGTGCTTCGGCCAACTCTATAATACGTGAAAGCTCTGCTTCTAAAGAGAAGAGAGAAGACAGTTGTGAATAACCGGTGCACAATAGAGAAGACCTTTTGATAGGATTGCAGATTTTTGATCATACCGCACACTTTTGTCCTCCCTCCCCTCCCCCCCTGCTCATCACACTTTCTCTACCTGTGTCTCGACCTGTGTCAACTTCCATTCACTTTTTTGAATGTTTTTGAGAAGTGCAGATTTTTAGATTTTCGGCATGAGTCCCGTTCACTACGATGCCCTACTAAACTATCGATGATCAATGTTCTTAAACTTTGCTAACCCTAACTTGTTCTCTCTTGAGACTCAGCATGACGCATGATTCGCACTAGGACCCACACGTAAGCAATGACACACATTGTATGCTTGTCTAAACACCCCTTTTCTTTATATTTCTGGTCTCCTTCTCGTCTAGCCCCCTTTTTAACGATTTTTTCAAAAGCCTCTTATCACTTTGGAAACGCCGAGTCATGCGCTTTCCTCGCCTTCACCGCACTATTTTCCACCTTACCATCCATTTTTCGTCATAATCTGGATTAGCTAAAATTGCTGTGAACTATGCCTTCAATTAGTTTTGTTTCTTAACAACAACTGACAACTAACAACTATGCGCACCGCCACTATTGAGAAGTATTGCTATTTATCAGGCAACTTGTGGATCCTGCTCGCATAGAATTCTTGAGGTTTCGAGAAGAAAAACTCGCCAACACGAGTTGGTTCACATCATCGAACCTATTTTTGAGATGGTTTTGATAGCGACAGGAACGGCGATAACCCGTTGGAGTCAGGTCTGGTCTTATATACGGTGGGCCAGAACATGACATCATGTTTGAACTTTCTTCTGGTTTCCTTCGCAATGTATGGTGTCCATCGCCATAGACAATGTAGACTTTCCGCTCTTGCTCTCCTTTAGCTGCAGCATCCTGTCCATCTGTACACTAGCCTTCGGTCTGACAGTGAAAATTCGTGGCAGAAAGAACGATCCTTTCGAATGGCTCCAACAGTAAGCACTGCTTTCTTAGGAAGGAGTTCTGGTTTGAGCATCGGGATTCCATGCTCTACATGTCCAAGCCACTGGTGCTTCTTCGTGTGATTGGCGTAGAGAAAACACTTATTGTTGCCGGTGAATAAATTACCAGAAAAGGTACGCCGAAAAAACAACAAATTTAGCATGCATCTCTGCTCATTTGAAGCTGGTGACCATCCAGCTCACAAGTTATCCACACTCCAGGCGATGCAAAAGGGTAACTATTTAATCGTGATGGCTATGAGCTCCTGTTTCAGCTCACGGGTAGAGAACGTCCGTTCCGCACGTCCGTCGTAATCAGGTAATACCGCCCACTTCGCGCGCGGCTCAGCCCACTCTGACCTCGAAATGACAGTGCAAGTAAGTGTCAGTGGGACGAATCATTTGCAACAGTCCGTGTTAACTTCCCTTTGAGCTAGAAAAAGCGCAAATCGTATGCCCCATTGGAAACTGCGACATCAGTCAAGAATCTCGGTCAGCAGTACCGCGTGCGACGGCTGCGGCGTGACCTTGTAAAGACGGGCGCGCGGAACGAAGCGCACCCCAAGGATAGTGCACCTGGGATCCTCTTCAACCAGTTCCAGAGGAGGACTTCATTCAGATAAACTGATCTCCCCGATCGTAGTTTTTCGGTCAAGTCAAAATGCCATTTTGTACTTGTGGTATCAATTTCTTGTTGTGCTGTGAGATACAATGGATGGTTCGCATATTTTCCTTGTCGCAAAATTTGGATTGACGCTTTATCTTAACTTATTAACAATCTAACTTGCTATCATGAGTCGATAACAATTCTTCCAGTCATGACCCATGCGAATTGCTGCGGCAGAAAGAGTGTGAAAAGTGTGAAGGCTCTGAAGCAATCTCCAAAGATTTCACACCATAGAAATAAAAATGTGCAGACTTTTTCAACAACCTAGTTCACCTTCTTTGGCATGAAACACTTTTTCATAGCGATGGCTACCAGTTTTTCCAGTTTTGAATACTGTTCTAAGTTTTCATTGCAGAGTTAATACGATCCTGTTGTTAACATTAATGGTGTGAAAGACCTAGCGGCTCTTGGTTTCTACGACCATTTATCAGCCTTCACCTGCTGTTATCAGAACTTATCACCAAGCAGAATCCTTTCACGCTCCCCACCACTTACAAACGCGTAAAGGCTTCATTATTATAACAAAGTACACAACAGATCCACTGCCTTTACCCACGTGTTTAAGCAGTACTCTGTCTTTAGACCGCATGAAAACATCCAGATACTTTACTAAAGTGTTTTAAACTACAAAACTCACAGTAAGGGTCGTGACAGCAGATCACTTGTCCTCCCATGATACTTTTGCCATTGTACTCAAGCACGAATTTATGAGCTTCTGCAAAGGCACAAATTTATGAGCTTCTGCAAAGGATATTCAATTATTTTTCAAAAGTCTAGGAGTGTACACTAGTATAAAAAGCTGACCAGAGATAGATATTAGTTCCCGTGGCCATTCAGGATAAGGTTAGAAAAGCCGTATGAGTGTTTGAACGCAGATTCAAAATCTATGCATCAAATCTGCGAAACGGTTCCAGGAATTAGGCTACAGGCATCTCCTATGCACGATGCGAGATTTCGCGTAGGAAGCAAAGGAGCATCGTGTAGGATTTTGGTCTTATAGGATGACATGCGCGATGGATTCGCTTTACATTTATACAAAATGCCTGCTAAACGATTGCAAGACAGTTTACGCTCAACACTGACAATCTGCAGAATCATCTTTAACAAACATCAGACTGCCTTTCATGAAAGTGTTGCCCTGCACATTTCTAACCATGAGGAAGCTATAACTATTGTAGAATACCAATGCGGGTTATTTGCTGGACTGCTTTCCACCCTTCGCATTGAAGATATTAGAACGACCTATCCCGACTGAAGTTTTTCTTGGAAAGGATTTGGTCTTATGATAAAGACATGATCCCGATACCAATGAACCTTTCATGACCACATATGATACCTGATACTAATACGAAGCATTAAAAATAAAGGTGTTTCCCAAGTGAAAGCGCGAAAGATCTTATTCTATTCATACTTGTAACCGTTCCAGTGCAGATAAGACGAGAAGTAGAACTGCATGGGTTCAGGACTAAGAAGTTTACAATCACTCGCAAAATTGCCGTAATTCCTCGACACTTGGTGGGAGTGTGGCGAAACCTGCTCATTGTTCATGGAAGACCGTAAAAGCGAGAAGCCTTTATTCTAGAAGTGCTGGAGCAATCGCGTTCGCTGGGACCAGGGAGTATCAGAATCTTTCACAAGTAGGAGTATGCAGAGAAAGCCGAATCGTTGGATAAGTGTGCTTTGCAACGAACTATCGAAATTGTAATCTGCCCGAAAGTAGTGTTCCCCGCTACTTTTTGAAGGGCGAGCGAGGGCTGCAGGTCGTTCGTCACTAATCGTCGTAAAATCGTCTTGCAAACCTTTTGAAGGCAATTCGAAAAAGGTAAAATGGATCCGAGCGTTAAGGATGCAATCCTCATGCCTGGTCTACGAGTGCTCCACCCATCATACCCTTCACACAGGACAATGGAACTCGGCATGCATTTCTCTACCCCACCGTCGAACTTCTGTAACTTATTTGTAGAACCGTGTTGCAAACTTGGCATGTGAATATTACAAATAAAAAGTAAATAAATAAACAAATAAATATGTTTATGTGAAATCAGCATTCGAAATCCACATACGGCTGCATGCATCTCATCTTAAATGTACTACAATCCTTTCCTTGTTGATTATTATGACTTTAACGACAGAAACAAGGCAGTTAACTGAGAACATAGATAATAGGTACGTTTTCGCGGCGAAGATTTTAGTTTAGGCATTACTTGTGAGCATGCTATATCGTGCGGTTGGCAATCCCGTCTGTTCATTATCACGTAAACCTGACGTCGTCGTCAGCAACCAGACATAACAAATTTTTGAAGCTTGCCACATCAACCCCATATTTTAACCTTCCAGCTTTCTACAAGATATCATAACTTCACAAAAGACAGAAATGTCCTGGAAACGCCTGCTATGTCTTCTCCCTCATTTCTCACTATTTTCCGCTTTAGCACGGTACGCTTACCGTGAGTGCATTATATTTCCGAAAAATATTTAAAAAGAGCGAAGTCGATCATATAAGTATGGCAAGAAGAAGGAGACCAAAGAAAAAACATTACTGCAGTAAATGTCCAGCAAGGAAATAGTACAGGACGCAGGATTCGCTAACCTGCAAACGTTGTGAAAACAATCATAGCCATTCCCATATGCTTCTTCGTGACTGGATGATAAAAAACTTCGAGATCGACAGGTGGTGCAATTTTCCTAAGTTCGAGAAATATTGCTTCAAGATTAGAAGGAAGATTCAAGGGGCCTTCAAGAAATTCGAATCTTACGCAGCCAATTGCTGGAGAAACGTTTTGTTGACATTATCGTTCAATTTGAAAAGCGTCACTTCCACTTTGGGATAAAACACAGTGTTCCGATCTATCTGAAAATGGTTATCGAGCGATTTGAGAAATAACGAGAAAAAGGCAGACAAAAACGCGAGCTGATGACCATATGAAAAATAGAGAACAGATTACCGTGAAGGATGGCACATCCAAATCAGCCTGTGGTATCGCTCGATACGGAATATAGTGGTTTCTTGGGTCAGTTAGAGGAAGTTTGACGTCATACTTAAAATCACGATAAACCTAAAACAGGAAAAAAGCATGTCAAAAGGCAAAGTTTACCTTGGGATGTCCCGGTATGAAGCCATTGTATCTACGAATAGTTTCTTTAGCACCAAGTTCCTTGTCATACAATGTTTTGTAATTCCGAAGCGCGTGTTGATAACCTCAAAGAATTATCGTCGGCTCAAAACGTATTTTATATCGAAGCAATAACCTTTATCAACCTGTACTCATACTTTCCTTAGAGGCCTAAAAAATCAAAAAAAAGTTTGAAACTCCAATCAACATAATTGATATGAGCGCCCATTTCGCTGATATACTGTTTGGAACATGAGTGACATCTAATGTCTTTACTAAAACCCTCTATTTGATTATTGCTAAGGGGTAGAGGACAAGCTTTACATATCTGCGGCCTTTTCACGNCCATTTTTCACTTTCAACTTCCCCGACTTATCATGCAACGAACAGGTGATATCAAAAATTGACAAGCTTGTGCCAAGTAATGATGGTTTTCTTTTCGGGAAGAGTACTATGCTACTATTACACCCCCAAAAACTCAAAGTTTTAATTTTCGATGAAACTTCGCCTATAAGGGTAATCCGATGCCATGATAACGAATATGACCATCACTTTTGGCGCTGGCGCCAATTTGGCGCCAAGGGTGTTTTTACAAAATTTGCTGAAAACTTGCGTTTAGAGGTTATTTGAGGTCCTGATAATGAATATAATATTCATTTTTGGCGCTGGCGCCATTTGGCGGCAATGGTGGCTATAGGCGAAGTTTCATCGAAAACTAAAATTTTGAGTTTTTGGGGATTTAATAATAGAATAGTACCTAGAGGTAATCTGGAAACAACGACTCTGCTAAACGCAGGTTTGTAACACTGAATATAACAGTCCGCGGTGATCTCAAGTGAGGCGCTAGTATAAGAAATCAAATTCACTTAAGGATATGGACTAATTTAGACTTCACTGAATGTTTTCGTTACCATGTGTATGATGCGATCGGGGCTGACAAGAACCATCTGGCTTCCGATGTGTAGGCGCCGCCTTGCAATTGCCTGCATCAGCCATTTACGACCACATGAATTCAGGACCAATCCCACAGCACCTGAAATTTCTTAAACACCAGATTATGCCAAGGTCGAAACATCAACGCGAGACTTCTTCGTAACGCAAAGAAATCAATTCTATAACTGAACGATCCCATGCAGATTGAGCACTCAACATCTGTGAACTCTGTGTGGCCTGTGTCAAATTTGTGGCACTCACACAATTTCGAGCACTCCTTTCATATTTTTCAATCAACAATTCATCATCTTCCAAACGCCGCCCTGCTAACGCCGAGTTTCCCTCCTTCTTATGACAAAGTTGTGATAATCGACTAACCCGCCACTCCTTGAGAATGAATGACACTTTTCAGGACACGAATGTTGACAGAGAATAGTGCAAAAGGGGGTAACGGAACTTCTCCCCTATCGCGGCATTCTCCCTTGCGGCATGCGGCAAATGTCACTGCAGTTACCGTACTCACCTCGCCTCCCGCCGATCGATAGGACGCGATATTTTTCCTTGACTAGCTTGCTTTTTTATTGGAATTTATCGTTTTTTCTTCTGTTTCTTCTTAGTTTTCATGTTTATTAGACCCGATTGATTAAAATGACTCCTCCTAAGTAAGCGGCGATCAAGACTGCATTGAAATTGAAGGAAGCGGTCAGCCAATTCAAATAATTAAAGGACTCCCTACCTCACAAATTGCGCGCTCCAAACTTCCATCGCAATCCTGCGATAGGCGGCGGGTGCGACGTGTGCGACGCCGTGTTAGGGGATAAGTTCCCGGACCCGTGCAAAAGGTGTTCGCTATGTGCCGATGCTCACGCTTATGATTAGAAGTCTCGACCTATTGCTCTTCATCTTGAAAGGGATTACTTTTCAGAGATTCACATTCATTTCAGAGAGAGATAGGCAAACCAAGCCATGAATGGTACTGACAAATGTTGCCGAGCGACAATAACGCCCATTATCATTAATGGAACTTCTTTTTCACTACGAATTTATTACTATTCGGGAACCCCAAATTATTGGCAGTCGGATAAGTTTTGTCCAGATGATATCGAAATAAAAGAACCGTGGTACTTCATTGAATCACAAATCCTGCTGGATAGCGGTCATAATGTGGCCGCTCCGTGCAAGCGCGACTATCAGCTGATGGTGTTGCAAGATGAATCATCAAGGAATGTCAGGGGGGAGCGGCGATCGAGGAGAACGTCAACGTGGCACGGAGGCTCGCTACCAAGGACGGCAGCCCAAGGCTTTTCTTCTCTCTTGGGGCGAAGTCCTGGACACCACGAATATTTCCTCCACGATCTCAGCCACTGTATTCTACTTTGTTGTACTATATTAAATGCCTCTTCGTTATCATGTAACTTGTTGATTCTGATTGTTTTGTATTTGTCTATTTTCGGTGTTGTTTGGATTAATTGTATCCAATTTAATGGTTTCCTACAGAAGCAGAGACTGAGCACGCTCCCCTGTGCGCGCGAGCTCACTATAGTCTAATAGCAAGAAATGACCCAAATTTTCATATCGTTAAGGAGAAATACCTTCAATCGGTCCCTATCCCTGCATTTACCGGACTTTCCGAATGAGTTTATCAATGTCATCAATGTTGTATTGTTAGTTCAACAATGATTGATTGTGAATACAAAGTCAAGATTTAATTGGTAAGGGGCTCTTGCTCTCTAAGGCCCCCTATCAGCTCGTATCAGTTGTTATCACTTCCTGTCACAGTACCTACGACCACGTCACACACTTCACATACTACATCACCTATTGAAATGCCAAAGTTCCACGTTCCACAGTTGACACGAAGGGGATTGCAAACCTAGTGGCTCCAGCTTTCTAGGCTCTTTGTCAGCCATTGCCCGCTTGATAGCACTCCTTGTCACCAACTGCCTTTGGTCTCTTCACATCCCACATCACCCACTAAAGAGCTCCACTGGTAAAACTAAAGACGTTTAGACCTATGGCTTCCACCTTCTATGATTTGTTATCAGCTTCTAACAATTGTTATCAACGCCTATCACTAAGCCACACCATTTACTAAAGTGGCCAGGCTCTACCGTTAACAATAAGCAAGAAACGGATTCTGCGGCTCTCGCCTTCTAAGGCGCTTCATCAGCTCCTTTCGATCGATATCATCTCTTATCTCCTATCATTGGTGTTCCAATCCTGCTCTACCCGTACTCCTACCAAATTTGAACGGTCTCAGTCCACGTAAACAGGGGTTATAATTTGCGATCGGAAATTCCTCTCGCCAGGGCCCGGTCCTGCTACCTGCCACGAAATTCTCATCCTGCCGCCTGCACTTCTACAAAGTTTAAACGCCTTAATCCAAAGCAACCGGAGTTATGAATTCCCCGTCAAACACACACACACACACCCACACCCACACATACGTACATACACACACATACACACCGGCAAACCAACAAACACACTTGGTGAATTATATATAGTAGTATTCCTAAACGAGGAAAAGGTTCAGCAAAGCATTCCGACTTTGCCACAGAAAGGAAGGGAGCTCGGCGTAAATCGAGCGATGCTCTGGTAACTTATAAAAAAGCAGCAATAAATAATGAGTAGTAATTTGTAAAAATAAATCATGATCGGCAAAACGCGGTAATATGCATTCTTGAGTAAAAAAATGTAATAACGATAATAATATCATCACCAAGAGTAAGAATAAAAGTTACATAAAAAAAGAAAAAAGGGCAGGAAAAGTTTGAAAATTCGATTTTGGAAATTTTGCCTCGAACCTGACCAATTTAAATCTTAAATAACTGGGGCTTCTACGGATAATATGTCTTGATGGATACTCGAACAATAAACACTTGATTTGAGTGATTTTTCACTATCTTGCTCGACTTCGTAGAAATCGGCATTTCCCTTCGGTAACGGTGCGGGCGGGATTGAATACATAGGAGTGCCCATGCATTTGAAATTAGCCACCATAGTTCAGAAATACTATTCGAGCATCCCAAATGGTCAGAAACGTTTGCCAGCTCCGTAAATTTTGCGACAGTCTTCGATAAAATAACCCTTGTTTCAAACAACGAGAGGTGTTTACACTCAGTCTTCGACGACGCGAATTGCAATAGAATTACAAAAGCACGATGACTTGTTCACGAAAAAAGCAGAGTCTGTGTGGTGGCTGAAGGACGAATTTACAGGCAATCAAAAAAAAGAGTAGAAACGAAAAGCTTTCTATCTAGAGGCCGTGGACAATATGCCCGAGCTTTGTTTTCATAATATTGTCTCACCCTGCATTTATAAGGCTACGAAGAGTTCGTAGGTGGTAAAAAAGGCAACACGTAAACAAAGATGACATGGGGATAATGGGAAGGCATGAAGATAGAAGAACGAAAAAGTTTGATGAAATGGTCGGAGACTTAAAAACGTATATGAAGGCGATTATTATGATAATGCGCTATTTTCAAAAGCATTTTCCGCCGCGGCAACGCTCTATATTGAAATCTTGAAACCAAGGTTTCTTAATACATAACCTACTGACCCAATATGTTTGAGAATTTGTTCTTTGAAATGAGGTAGTGGTTAGTGATCAATCTATAACTTGCACGCAGTTACTACTCGATCCGTTTCAGAAAATCTACAGGCTGTACCGCGTTACCAACCTGTAGTCAACGAAGAGGTGTGCTGCGTTAAAAGAATAATTGGCTAAATTAAATTACGTTACAATAACTTACATCGAGAAATGACGACTGATCCGAAAACAGGAATAATAAAAAGGGGAACCCGAAAAGGCTTGACGATGGAAACTACCTTGACGATAAATTAGATTAATTGCATGGGAAGAAATTAACTTAACAAGACTGATGTTAACTACCACATTACTCACGTAAAGGAATTCTACTAGGAAGTGGAGTGGAATTTCGCACTGACATGCTGAGTCAGTTCACATTTCTAGACATGCTCAGACCTAATGGAGCTCAGAATACTAAGTGGATTTGATTTATATCCCTCCCAAAATTGTACATGGCTGAGTGGTTCAAGAACAGAGATCTGTATTTTTGATTGATTTAGAGCCAAAGCGCACAGAAACAAAAGCAGTTATATAATTAAGGCGTATGGGAGGAGTCTAAACTGAATACAGCTGAAATACAAATGAATAGGTAATTTACCAAAACTACTACATTCCGTCTGAGTTCTCTAATATGCCAACTTTTGAAACTTCTTGTGTACCTTCAACCCCGAACTCCCTAAATCCTGGAGTGGAGTGAACAGCATTATTTTGTAAAGAACCGGATGTTGATAACACTTAAGCAAACCTGGGTCTCTCTATTGACTTCAATCCGTGCACCATCGTTTAGTAATTAGTGCACTTCTACATCCAATCACATGATGCAATCCACCCCCAACAAAAGCTTAAGGAGTAGTAGGGACTTGGAGGTAGCCGCAAACCAGCTCCCCACTCTAAGCCTTGTCTTTTTCACGTGTAAAGCTGTAACTAATAGATTAGCAATGAAAGAACAGTAGGAAAATGACCATCTGGCACCGCGCCAGTTTTCCGATAGATTGCAACTTCCGTCGGCTGCGAGCGTCACAAGCACACAGCGCGCGCCCGCGCAACACATTGCTATTGGGGCACATATGTTCCATGGGGAGACTGGAGGCGGTCGTAGGGCGCGGTACTTCAAGACCACTTTGCTATTGGGCGCCTGGGGCTCGATTGCCTTCGGTGTATGTCCACCAAGGAGTCAAGTTCGTGGAGGGGATGAGGGGGGGGGATGTTCAAACGATCAAACGTTTCACTCATCTTTATTAATCGGGTAGGAAATAAGGAAATTGTAAAGAGCCTTAGGAAGCTTCATCCATCCCCATTGGAGGCATTTTAGCGTTACTGTGTCACACATTCACTGGACGATTGAATCCGTCTTGTTCCATCCCCTTATGTAAATTACAACAGTATTATACTTTTTTGACATGAAACGTTGAGATTCCAAATTTATTCACATCCGTAGCACAGGTAGCAATTTTTTTCATTCGTGGCAGTATCACATTTTCATCATTTTATGAAAGTGGGTGTCACAGAGAACATCTGGAAACAAATAGTATGAGAGATTATTTTGCAAACCATCCAGCAATATTCGAATTCTACCCAACATTTGTGGCTACTCGGGATATTTTCAAATTTTGTGGTGGTATATTTGCATACGGGATATATATTTAGATAGGGTTCAGAGATGATCATTATCCTTGCCAGTATCCTTGTCATAACGAGTGTTCCGGATATCGGAATCGAGGAGTCCAACGAAGCTGTTGAACGAAGTTTATCCACAAGACAGAATGGCTGTCACACTTGCGCGACATTGTTTACCCATGATTTTCCCTAGGATGACCATGACGAATCTCTGCTCCTGCAATTTTCCCCACCAGATAAGGTTCAAAGGTGTAAAACAATGAATGCACACTTCGACAGGGACTTACTTGCGAGAAGGGGGTAATGAAGTGAGCTAACATCAAAGCTAATCTCCATCTTGGGCCCACTCACTGTCACTTTCCCAACCCACGTAGCACCCAATGTGTGACCATTATTTTTCATGCTGGGCTGCTTCTATTCTTTACGATATTTGGCAATTTTGGATTAATCTTAAAGTGTTTTTGATATGCTGGTCAGTCTTACCGAATAGATAACAGACGATCACGTTATCAGTAGCTTATACACATCCTTCACCTTGATATACCGGAAGTTTCGTTTTTTTTTACTACACTCTTTTGTTGGATAGGAATTATATTTGTGCACTGGTGAAATGTTAATTATGCAGCGAATCGGAATAGTTTACAGGGATATTATTAACCGCATTTTACTGTTTTTTCTTTTTTATTTTGCACAAAATCAAAGCCCTTGGCTAGATATATTGGGTAGTTTTCTGTTAAAAAATTCCAATCAATAATCTTTAGCCTGCTGCATATCGATATACGGGCAGCGTAATAATCATGGAGTTTTCACACCTAATTGAGATCGCCTCGCACCATCGAGCTTTGTCTTTGTTTCTTTACCCCCCACATAATCGACTTTTCCGTTTCTGCAATCCCTGGCGATTACAAAGGCGTGTGGCTGTTTTTCAAACATCTGTTTAACCTGAAGATCCATTCACAGCCTCTTCCGATTACATGAGAAACAAAATTTTACAAAAACGTTCATATATATATCCAACACAACATAAGGGCAGATGCATACAATAGCATTTGTTGTAATTTAAGACGCACATATCATACAGCATCAAATACTGATGTAACTGAACTCATTGGTAATGAACTACATACTCATACTACTCAAACTCATTAATTTGTTTTGATGCTCATTGAATGATGCATTGATCATGACGAATCAAAACTAGATAAGACTGGATACCATGCAAACGTATAGGTTTGATCCCACTGAGATTATGAAAAATGAAATACCTAAGGTTACAACAAAAGAGAAGAGAAATTGAAAAACTATACACAGAAAAAGATGGAGCGTGGGTAATAGAGTAAAAAGTTCAATGAAATCCAGATAACAAACTGAACAGATAGTCATAGTCAAATCAGTAACGACAAAAAGAGAAAGGTGTAATAAACAGAACAGAAGGACTACACAGGAGTACTAGTTGAGGTTTATAAATTCGTTGATGAACATGAATAAATATTGAATGATAAAGCAAAGCATCGCATGAACACTAAATGGATAGTTCTTGTGGAAAGCAAACTCACATAAAGAAAATGAGATCACAAATCATGCAAAGCTTCCAACTCGAACGTCAGTATTGGTCGTTTTGGGCGATCACTTAACAGGTCTTGAAGAATACTCGTCCAGGACAGTGTGATATAGGTGAGATATGCGTGTAGCGGAATGCACTGCGCCCTTTTCTTCTCGCGTAGCCAATGCCATGCTTGGCTGAACCCACGCACAGACCACAAGCGATTCAAAACACACTCATTCAGTTCATCGTCAAGGTTGCTTCCATCTACTTCAGGATACTTATCTATCGTGTCGGCTTCGCTTTGCCAGCGCCGACCACGAGCATGAATAGCAGGCGTCAGTGACGACCGAAAGCGAGCGTGCGATTCAGGCAAGTTAGTCTCGGACATTCTTCTTTGGTTCCATGAACGTTCAATTTCGGAGAAGTCTATGCTTCCCTCCAACGAAGGCGTTTCATAGCCACCATAGTTCTGCACTCTAGCCACAGCCATTTCAGCATATCCCTTTTTATGGGGTCCTCTCATGCCGACGAACTCTTGCCGACGCCCACTCTGTTTCATAATTTTTTGTGTCCATTGCCACGTTGACGAAATCTTCGCATCATAAACTTGCTTGAGAATGTCGTATCTGATTGAACCGAGGAACACCACAGCTTCCCTGGTATTCTGTCTATCTCGAGCGACTAATTCCACACAAACGCATTCACCGTCTCTCACAACGATGTCTTGAAAAACTTCTTCGAAAGCGTCGATCGCAAAATAGAGTTTCGGGTACGTAATCTCTTCGTTTTCGCCCTTACTATCCATACTTCTTCTGCTAGGGGACGGGTATACCTTCTGACAGTTTTTGCGAATGATTTGCAGATTCTGTGGGCTCGTTTTAGTACAAACAGCACACGTCACATAGAAGTCGATTTGCTGCAGAACGAGGTTCAGACAAACGGTTTCCTCCCAGTTGTAGGCTTCGTCACAAGGAACTGGCAGATTCTTGCCTGATCTTCGAAATACTTGGACCATGTGAGGATTTCCAATACAGAACGATGTGTTGATTTTGACCCGATGTACATACCAAATCATATCGTCGGAATGTGCCTTGCACGCTTGACTACGACAGAAATCAGTTCCGAGGATGAATTGTATGAAAAGTTTCGCCCACTCGATCTCACTGTTTTTAGATGGATAATATCCTCCATCTTGGGAAGGGGCTGAGCGCCGAAGAGCAATAATCTTCTCAAAAAGTTGTCCAATACAGCCACAAGATCCACCGCCTCTGTCGCTGCAATTGTCTGCACCCACATCTCCGGGGAGAATATTGCTCGTAGGTATGGCGAGTTCTCGAATCGCATTTGTACGTAGCATTACAAGTGTATGACAGATCAGCACCAATCAAATTGGATATAGTAACATAGCTATGCAATAAAAAGCTCTCCAAGTTTAAAGATTTCCGCAATGTACCTTCATTCGGCGCACGAGCAATTCCACATAGAAGTGGTGGTGTCACCAAGAAATAAGCCCGCAACTGTAAGGACTGGCGTCAGTCCGCTGTGACGAGTGTACCAACACAGCGAACCACAGATGCTCCAAAACAGCGGGTGCAGTGGAGGAGGATTCGAACACCGAAACGGGGCAGGTTCTATGCGTGAGCGGTCGTGTCGCGGGCTTGCTCCTCGTAAGAGAAACCAACCCCTCCAGATTGCCAAATCCACAACGAGACCGAGGTCCTGAAAAATTGCGAAATAATTAGCTGCATATGGAGAACACGCGAAGAAAATGCAGAGTTAAACGATATAGGAAATCTCCTGTCATCAAAGTCGGCCCACAGTGTCTAGACTACCCAAAATAACGTCACGTAGGGTTTGTCTGATTTTATTGCTTAAGTTCTTCTGACATATAAGAGCGATAACGGTGGCATGAACGCCCTTGGGGCTTTTCGTAAAAGGCACAAAAACCCATACATGAGCAACAAGAATGAGCGTACGCACATAACTGGTGATTCGTTGACGAATATACTGCTGTGCAAGCATTGACAGCGAAAATAACGCCACGACTCATCAATAGTATGAACGTGACACATTTGATCCGAAGTTGAGCAAGTGTTGGGTGTTGGCGGAGTTTGAGTGGTTACCCCTTTATCGACATACCAGTAATTCCTTAGTACGAGTTTAAATAAACTACGAATTGGTTTGCTTTCAGCATGACAGTCAGCACTTCAAAAATTTTCGAGACATCGAGAGAAACAATCGGGATGCCATTGAAAAAACTTTCCCGAAGCATTGAATATCCAAAGAATCTTGGAAAGGTTGCTAAACATTGAGGGGAATCCGCATCCATGGCCTTTTCGAGTTCTCTCAAATATTTGTCCAAACAAGAAAATCATATGGAAGGGTGGTACAGGAAACAACTCGTATCAATCACATGATGAGGGTTAGAGGACCTTGCAGTGCGACCTCAACTGAATATGTCAGTAAAATGAAAAAACAGCGACCCATAAACACATTAAGCTAGATCAAAGGAATTACGGAAAAATCTAGCTATGAGTTTCCGTAAGTTTAGGTGGGTTGTACGTGAGTTACAGAGAATGTCTCATGCTTGTCGGCCAGTCTGGTGAATAGCCCGCGCTGTTTACTTTGTACTCATCCCGTCTTCGAACTACATATAATAGTCAGTGAAGAGTTTCTCAGTTCTCGCAGTGCTCGTAATTGAAGTGTATGCTTTTCGGGTGAAAATGTAGTTGGGGGGGGGGGGGGGGGGGGGGGGGCNGGGGCAGGCCCTTTTGTGCTCTGCTTCAATTCTTACCCCATCTAGTCATCTCTCCCACCCCGGAGCTCCTCCCTTTCTAACAGTAAGGGAAGGAGCTCCGGGGTGGGTGAACCAATAGGATGTTCGATTATTACACCATCCCAGCTTTTTGAACGAGATAATCATCTCTTCCACCCCTAAGCTCCTTCCTTAACCTTTAGAAGGGGAGGAAACCGCTTCTGCGCTCTAGCGCTGTCTTCACTCCGCCGTTTGGTGTTAGAGATGCTGAGCACAAAAGGGGGCCGGCACCCCCCTCCCCTAACTACATTTCCACCGCTTTGTGAACACTTAGTTTCTTTATATTTTTCCTACCCATTGCTATTAAGGGTGCAGTTTCAAGCTTGAACAGAGTTCAGTGCACGTAGATGGCGTTGCTAAACCTTGAACAGTGCTCTTCGAGTTAGTAATGAGGGCCATCAACATCCGGCGTTGTCAACACGTGGCTAGCCCCGCCGTTGGTCGGAAGGCACGTCTGTGAACTCCGAAAGCAATCGTAAGCTGGTTGGTGACTGTAAATCGAGAGGCTGAATGATTTAGACGGGTTGGTTGACGCAGAAATTGCGCGGTAGAATGGACGCACAAAAAAAAAACGACCGCCCTCCTGTGTGTAAACACATAAACGGGACGTGAAAAACCGTCTTGTTCTTGTGTCTATTCATTTAATATAGATTCTTAAAGATGCCCTATGTATATCTACAGATCTCGATCACGCATCTGGAGGTGTTCTTATCCTAAGCACCATTGCATTGTAGGTAAGGTACCTGCTTATGTTTTGTGGTGTCAGGTGCAACACATAACCAAGTGGGCATGAAGACATAAGCCGTCCGTGAACCCTATTCATAGTTTCTTGCGTGCTCTTATTCCTCTGCTTGGCAACCGCTAGGCTCAGCCGTTCAATTCGATGGGAAGGTATAGAGGCTGAGCGGTCCAATGACGTAGAACTGCCTGCCCACATCACGAAGATTATTTACCTAGCCTTAATAAATTTCCAATTGATGAATATACTACAAGTCATTCTAGCAAGTGTTTTGGGGTTGGGATTTGGAATGTGACTGGTCTGAGGATAAGGTGACGATATCATTGGTTGGAGGCGCGAAAATCGGTTTAAGTTATGTGAGAAAAGTAGTGTTCTCGTTTTCGGAGTGAAATTGGACCAGGTTATTTAAAACCAGGATGACATTCGAAAACTGCTAGTAGAATATAGAGGTGATAAGAGTCACTTCTCTCATCATTCTGGTAGTAAAGGTAAGCTTAAGTCAATACGTAGTCAAAGAGATATCTGCTTAGTTGAAATCCCTCTAGATTGCAATTCGCGAACACTGAATATATTAGGTCGTCGGCAAAGCATTCCACCATTTTGATACGAAATTTTGAATGATATCCCGTAGACCCAGAGTTGAAATTTGCTAGGAGTACAGGAGGCAGGAAACACTCATGACAGGTAGCAGGACCAGGCTCCGCCCACAGGAGGCGGGGCATGCGTGGTAGAAATTTCGAGCCGCAAACTCATAACTCCTGTTTACGTGGACCTAAAGCATTGAAATTTGGAAGGGACACAGGCGGCAGGATGGTCACACCGATGGCATGTGATAGGAAATGGTAACAATTGATGGGGGCTAATAGAGGGCCTTAGGAGGCGAGAGTCTCAGGATCGGACTGTAGATATTTACTGGTGGGGACTGATAAGGACCGATTCGGGCAGTTAACGAACCATAGAGCTAATAGGTATTTAACGCCATTCGTTTTAACAGTACCCGGCCAGCCCTGGCACTTTAGTAGGTGGTGTGAGAAATAAAGGGATCCTAGATGATTGGTGACAATGACTGATAACATATGATAAGGAATGATAATTGCCATAGAAGACGAGAGCCACTAGGTCTATTACGCCCTTCTTATTAACCGGGCGGCCACGCACGCTATTGCGTGCGCTGGGGGCTCTAGCCATGAGGGACTGAGCTGCATAGGCTTCTGATTTTCATTGTAAACCTTTATTATCTGAGCCTCTTCCTTGGTACTTCTGTAGCGGCCATCATTTTTTTGGGATGTGAAGCGCGGCTGTGTGTGGCCATGAAGAGAACTCTGATGTATCTAAACCAAATACCTCTGCAGTCCATGTAGTCGAAAAAAACTCTGTGCAGTTTGGGCTGTGTGTGGCTATGAACACTAACTTTGAAAGAAAAGCTCCTTTGGGTATTTGTAGGAATTTACACGTTTTTACAGGGTATGCACCTGTTAGCCGGGGTCACTGTAGAAATTATTTTATGAGGTCTGAAATAATGTAGTGCATTTGCTCTTGTGTAGAAGGGACAACTGTGTATGTGGAACCATGGATACTAACATTTAGAAAATTTTTGGCCTAATTTTTGAGAGGGTTTTGTGGTATCCCCTAGTTGTATGCCTATGTAGTGAGGGTTAGTGGGAAGGACAGATGTATAAATTTTTGACCTCAGCCCCGCCCCCATCTTTGCAAATCCCACTCACTTCAGACTTCGAACCACATTACTTTTATTGCCTCCAGACACCTTTTTTCCCCGCGTTACGAAACGCATCTGAAGAGACCAAATAATTTTGATGTAATCCCCGCCCACTCCAGTGCCACTCCGCCCACATCTGGGATTTGACCACATTTGTTCTACAACATCTTCCCATTTTTTCCCTGCATCCCAGAATGTTTCTAATTTTTGATCCAAATCCGCCCACTTCAGCGCCAACTCCGCCCACTTCTGGGATTTGACCCAATTTGTGCTTTTGCACCTTAATACCATTTTGCCGCATCCCAGAACATTTCTGAACGGAGTTATAAATTTTTGATCTAAGCCCCGCCCACTTTAGTGCCAACCCCGCCCACTTGTGGGATTTTTCCACATTTGTTCTTTCACACCTTAATACCTTTTTGCCGCATCCCAGAACATTTCTGAACAGAGTTATAAATTTTTGATCTAAGCCCCGCCCACTTTAGTGCCGACCCCGCCCACTTCAGGGGTTTGACCACATTTGTTCCATTACCTCTAACCACTGTTTTCCGGCATTCTAGAACGTTTCCGAGCGAAGTTACACTCATTTTTAAAAAGTAGCTTTCACCTTAACGCACGCCCCGCCCATTGTGGGCGGGGCTTCGCTAAGCTTATACATGCCCAGCACGCATGAAGCCTTGCTCACTCTTTTTATTTTTTCCTGGCCTCGACGCCCCCGTTGAATCGGGTTATGAATCTCTGTGGGAAGTACCGCCCACTTCGAAAACGCTCCGCCCACCGTCGGTAAGTTTAATTTATTTCAGTTGTTGGCCCATCCCCCACCTTTGCACTTTTTTCCCGGCGTTTGGACCGTTATGAGACCGAATGAGAAGAATTGACCCATGACCCCGCCCAACTCCGGCGCATGCCCCGCCCCTTGGGGGCGGAGCTCCGCTGAGCTCACATGTGCTCTGTTGGTCCTGCCCTATGCTCGACCCATTCCAAACTTGAGACGACTTCTCCAGGCGTTTCTTCAGATGATACTGAAATTTGCGACGACAAACAGACAAACAAACAGACACACCAAGGATGTGGTTTATATATAGTAAGGATCGTGGAGGTTTCACACTTTTGTTCGTAGTGTGGGATGAAGGAACCGTAAGTGACAAGGAGTGATAACAACTGATAGGCTGATAACTACCAAAGAAGGCTCGGTGTGTAAAGATATGAGTGGTTTCGTATTAAGAGTGGAACCTCGATTTCAATAAATGATGTAGGATGTGATGTAGACGACGTGATGGCATTGGAGGCTCTCTGCCAAACAGTTGATCGAGGGTCCTCGTCAATCAAACTTGAGAGGAGCTCTTACCCTGAACGTGGTTTTTCGCTCAAGAATTAGCCGCGGTTTCTAAATAAGATACGGTAAGGCCCCATTGATCACATATACTCCTTGTAGAATGGCGAGCTCTGACGTGTTTTTTAATTCGTAAAGCAGAAACAGTCGAATCTGTAGGAGTTAAAAACGATCTCCGAAGCTATTTTCTATGAATTTTGGGCAATGGGCTCATTATGACTATGTTTGGACACAAGGCTCCTGGATGACTCCCGAAAATTTCGCATAATGGCGAAAAGAAGAAGGGAAATTTGCTTATTAACCTAATAGTTGAAAACAACTGAGATAGTTGAGTTGCGACATAGGTGCCAGTACGATACCGAAACACTAATTCGATTCAAGAATACGTTGCAGAAGTCGTTTCGGTAGGAATTGCTGCTCTTTTGTGTTAAACGGGCGAGCCCCCATCAGAACCTCTCCTGCGACTCATAAATGATAACCAGTACATATAATCCAGTCTAAGTATGTGCTCTATTCTGTAACAGCGCTTTAAATTGTTCTGTAGTGTGTCGGGAAATCGACAAAAAGTCTTTATGGTGGTAGCGTTGAACGGTGAATATGTAGGCGCAGTATGCGGCAATGACCAGGATCGCTCAATGGGCGAGGTTGGTGCTTCAACATGGCCGAGAAGTTTCTTCGAGAGCAGAAAATCCTGCAAAGCTTGTAGAACTAAGTAAATACTCTCCGGAAAAAATACGAAATTTCAGGTGAGTTCATTGAGTTTCGCAGTGTTTTCCATCATTTTGTAAAACTTGCAGCATAGTGGCTCATGTGGATCACGGAAAAAGCACATTGGCTGACCGTCTCTTGGAAATAACGGGTGTTGTAAAGCCTGAGGCCAGAAGAAATCAAATGCTTGATCGTTTACCTGTGGAGAGGGAGAGAGGTATAACCGTTAAGGCTCAAACAGCCGCTCTTCCATATAAGGTACGGAGTATTTGGTGTCGTTGTTTGTTACATCTGTAGTGTGACTCATTCTTTAAAAACTTCAAGGATTACTTACTAAATTTGATTGATACGCCTGGGCATGTCGATTTCTCAGCTGAAGTGTTCCGTTCTCTTTCTGTATGCGACGGAGTCTTGCTTGTGGTAGCAGCAAATCAGGGAGTCCAAGCGCAGGTTTTTGGCTCTTGTTGTTTTATGCGTTCATAAGTTTATAACAGTTGAGAGCGTCAAAAAGTGCTCAACTGGTTGTTGCACGGTCCTGACAACATAGTATCATCGTTGCGTATTCGGAATAACACCGGTATATTTCCACTAGACAGTTTATTGTTTTCAGACTATTGCCAATTTTTGGCTTGCGTTCGAAAGAAATGTCGTTATAATTCCTGTCATTAACAAGATTGACCTTAGTGGTGCAGATGTGGCAAAGGTCCTTTTTTTTTAGTTTCACACTCATGTATTTACAGTTGTAATTTCCGGCATTCAGGTAGAGTCCCAACTAAAAAATCTGTTCGAGTTTGAGCCTCATGAATGCATCAAGGTTTCAGCGAAATCTGGTCATAATGTGGAGAAACTGTTAGAGGTAATAGTAGATCAGGTTCCACCACCGAAGACCAATGGCAATGCTCCATTTCGGTGAGTCACTTTTAGACCTGCGTTATACCTCCTATCTTGCCTTTGCCGCCAGAGTTTCTTTTAATCGTTATGGCTGACTTGCCTCATCTATGTGTGTGGTGTGGGTGCAGGCGGCAGTATGAAAACATGGTAGGTGGCACGACTGTACCAAGGGGAAGGGGTAGGAAAGGTGAGTGGAGCATGCACAAAATGAACGAGTCGGTAGTCGTAATAGAAATACGCGGTCAAGTGGAATAAGTGCGGTATGAAGTTAGTTACATAAACACATATGAATAACGTTCTACTCACTACACCCCAGGGCGCTAACGAAGTGAGATCGTCTGTGTGTGTTTTTGACCGGGAATTCATAACTACTGTTTTCGTGGACCTGAGCGTTCAAATTTGGAAGGGATGCCGGTTGCACGCCAACTTCAACACGAAGTAAAGGGCAGCCGTTCCGACTTGTATCAAAACAATATGCAATACCGTACCGAGTTAATGGGCGTGTTTTGCAGAGCCCAAGTTTTTGACTCCATGTTCGATCATTTTCGCGGGGCAGTGGCGTTCATTCGTGTTGCGGACGGATCTGTCAAAAGAGGGCAAAAAATCAGGTCTTATCACAATGCCAGGGACTATGACGTTGTGGAGGTGATTTTTTAATTTTAACTTAACTTTCTAAATTATCTTGAACCCATTGGCGACCGTGCTTTTTACATTGTCCTTACATTAGCTTTTAATTTCTCTTATAACTGTAGTTGGAAGTGAATGATTCCTGGACCACGATGCCGCAAGGTTTCTAGAAGGCTGTGAGCTCAGCTGATATTTGAAAACATGAAAAAAATTATAAGAACACTTGATAAATAAATAAATACTATAGGAGCACGATATGGTGTGGCCCGCCGACGGGTCGCGCAGTCGTCAATGGGCTGAAGTGTATTATTTCTCGAGATTCAACCTAAAATTCAGGTTGGAATAATGCGTCCCGACATGACACCGTGCACAAGTCTCATTGCTGGGCAGGTTGGCTACGTCATATGCGGGATGAAGACCGTTAAGGTGTGGCTACTCGATCATCGCATGCGTATGGCTATATCTCTGATCATTAGTTTCCGCAGATATCACTCGTATAAGTTAATTGGAATGCTGGCGCAAAAGCTATAAGGCTTGATCGGGCATCTTTTCAAAGAGTAAGCGGTCATTAAAGAAAGCATGTAATTCTGAACCAACAACGCTCAAGTGTATAATGTAAGAAATGCTTGGGTCTCGCGTGAATATGCTGAACCGCATGCCGATTTTCTCTACCTGAGCGATAAACGCGTGGTATTGGTTCGATTAGACAGGCTATGCAGAGATGGGTGGTTATTCCCATAACACTGAATGATGAGAGACACCTCAATCTATCATTTCATGCTGCATATGCTTATTCAGGATAAATTACATGGAAGACCTTTTTTTATGGAATTTTCGGCATCAGTGCAATGTTTCATAGGGTTTTTTAGAAGAATCGATTTTGCTGTATGGCCATTCCATTTAATGTTTTTGTCTTATTTATAGATTCCTTAGTCTGTTAGTCTGCAAAAAATAACTTGATAGAAGAAAACATGATCTACATGTATGAGAGATTTTTCTGGGATCCATTGTGCTGCGGTACATGAAACGTGGATGTTTTTCAAGCGTGAATTGTTTGAAATTCCTCAACTTTCATTTATGATGCTGCAGCACTTTTTTACAGGAAGCTATGGTTGGAGAAACTCTGTTCACTCCCCATGAGGAACAATCTGTGGAAGCTTTTCCAGGGTTTAAACCCATCAAACCAACAGTTTATGCAGGGCTTTTTCCGATAAAAACCTCTGAATACGAAGACCTTAAACAGGTTATGCTTCGTTCTTTCCATTTATACTGCTTTCCTATTGTCACAGGATATTATCTAAGAGTTTACAAATTTCTTATCTTTGTTGCACACGATGAAATGGTTACGTCTTCTAAATGAAAAGCGTTACTTGTTTTACTGTAACAGGTCCTGATTTTTTCAGGCAGTTGAACGTCTCAGCCTCAATGATCCTTCAGTTTTGATTATTCCCGATTCCAGTCCAGCATTGGGCCTAGGATGGAAAGTTTGTGATATTTCTCGTCAAAAGATATGTGTAATCATTCCTATCATATTTTTAGATGGGATTTCTTGGCGTTCTACATATGGAGGTTTTTGGTGCTAGGCTTAGTCAAGAATATGAAACAAGTGTTATTATGACGCAGCCATCCATCGAGTATAGAGCGCTTGTGAAGGTGAGAGTTTGCCCCATTTTCTATTTTATTTTCAACTGCTCTGTTTCCAGGACAGCGATACAATCCGCAAGAAGCGTTTCGGTGGTAAATGTGAGATCAGTATCATCGACGCTACCCATTTTCCCGAAGAAAGCGATATCGAGAAGTTTTTGGAGCCTATAGTTACGGTAAATGTCTATGCTTCTACGCGGTTGTATACGGCTTTCTCGATTTAAGTTTTTGGGCAAAAGATCATCGTTGGGGATGCTATGTTACCAGGGATCTCTGGTGAGAAGACTACCTGACAGATCCTTCAGGGGAATAGGGGAATAAATCGCAAGCTAAAATTCACCAGTGCTTGGCTAGAAACGTAAGTGGACCAAAAGTATAGTCTCCTTATTCCTACTGTTATGGGTCGGTTCATGCCTTCTGTTTCGCCGCAGTTGTATCCATATCGGTGTGGAGAGCCTGCGGGGGCCGTTAATACTATGCACAATGGTTCAGCTAAAAGCTTGCACTCCAGTGACTGTGAAGTATCAGGTAACCAAAAAAATTCGTGCGGCTTTGCAAGTGGATAAATAAATGATAAAAACGGATTAATAAAGTTTATTCTAAAAAATAGTCTACTCCAGCAAGAATAACTTTCTCCCATCGTGAAACATGCTGGTATATTTCATTTTTATAAAAGTCTTGAGTTTTGGGGCTGAAAAACTGATTGATCTCCACTTCGAGCTCTTCTCTACTTTGAAGCTGTCGATTCCTCATGTGATTATCCAGGGCCAAAAACAGGAAATTGTCGCTTGGGGCAAGATCTGCTGAATATGGAGGGTGGGGCAGAATCTCCCATTGTAAACGTGCTAGAGTTTGCCGCGTGTTACTTGCTGTGTGCGGTGTGGCGTTGTCCTGGTGGGATACAACACCTTTTCTGTTCGCCAAAGCTGGTTGGTTTTGATGAAGAGCAACCGAAACACTGTCTAATTGGGCTGAGTGGAACCTCTGAGTGCTGGTCATTCATAACTACGTGCAATGCCGGGTTTTGTAAAGTCCATGATAACGTACCTTGTTGACATAGATCAATAGTACCCTACAACAATACTCCACTTGAAAATTTTAAACTAAAACGCACTACTTAAACTTACGAGACACACTGAATGATTCTGCATAAAAACATGCTACAAAGCATATGCAATGTTACCCTGCTACCACAAACAGTTTTCTTAATACATTGCATAGAAACAATCAATTAGAAACGACCGCACAAAATTTCTTGGTTGCCTAATATTTGAGAGGCGATTCGGGATAGCTTGTAACGAATAAGCACCTTGTCCTTCTCTAGAATAGCTTGGCTAGCTACCCAGGGTTTACATAGCCTCCACGTCAGAGTCTGGGAAGCTACTTGTGGGTACCCTAACACTAAAAACTGTAAAATAGATGGGCTTCATTACTCCTTCAATGGATTACACAACGCGGTGCATTTTAACGACCTTTCCGAGGGTTTAAGCGCCTTGGAAAGGTTGTTAAAATGTCGGGGCCATAGCAGGCCGCCTCAAAAGAGACGGACTGAGATGACCTGTTCTTCCAAAGCACAAACACATCGAGAGCGTATATCGAAGATCAAATGATGCATGGCGGAAAGATCAAGTACGACGTCATCGGACTGACCCGGAAGAAATGCCATCTTCCGCCATGAAGTTTTCGAGACTGCAGAAGAACTGTCTCTTGCTACAGTCGAAAGCAAAGGCGTCGCGAATGAACACAGGTGTCCTCGCCAAACACACGTGGAGTGGACCGCTGTCCCCTCTGCCCTAATATTTATTTTTCAGTGTGTGGAGGTAGAGCGGCGAAGTTGAAGGAACGAACTCTCTAGACCATTGTCAATTGGAATCATTTCACTTCTGTGCAGTATGAGAAGGTTCCTTTATTGACAACACCGATGGAGAATTCATGTGGTTTTTCAAAGGTCTTCACGGCAATGCCTGCAAAGCCGTATCTATCTACAAGTCGTCATGAGATACTTCACTGTGGGAATCTCTAGGAAATTGCCATCTAGCTTCAAAATTTGCAAAGCTCTGCGTAGTTGCGATAGGAGAAGATCTAAAAAGAGAAGGGCAGCAGTTCTAGAAAGATTGTTAAGAGCGTTCGCAATGTTCACCAGAAGTTCGTCAGTTGCAAGACCAAGATAACCCTTTGGCCATCCTGATGTACAGTTACTGCATCTCGGAGGGTCATCAAGAACCTCTACTCGGATCTCTTCGATAGTTTTCTTACCAACTCAGGCAGAATGGATATGCCATTCTTTCAGGTCTCCATTTCGAAATTGACATCCCATCAGCTGAATGAATAATTTTGCATGGCCCCTATCGGAAAAGTACGTCTAGAGATTCGTTTGTCAGTTATCTTATCTCGATTCCTTTCGCGCCATCTGAATTCTCTGTAGAAATTCAAGTATATTTTTTCGTGAAAAACTAGTAGGACTGTGTTGCTAGACGTGTCTGCAGTCTATCAACTTTCCACAGAAATCCTTAACAAGATTGGCAGAATACGAGATGAAGAGCAGCCATGCGAGCACGTAAGGTTTTAGGTGGGGTCCGGCACATTACGTCACATCCATGTTGTCACAAAACTGTGAAGTATCGCGAGAACAGAGTGCCGTTATGTCTCTCGTCCGTTGATTTAATACCGTCGAGGGAGGAGGTATTTAAAGCCTCGGGCAATCACGGTGTTCCTCCTCAATACTAAAAGGTGCTTCATGGGTTCTGCAACGGGTTACCATGATCTCTTCACGCTATCTGGAAATCACTGTCAAAGTGAAGAGGGGGATTCAGTAGGGCGGCACCATTTTAACCAAGCTTTTCATTGCGTTTTATCATGCGCGTCAGGAATAATGGGAAAACACGGAAATGAAACTCGAGAGCCGCCTCTTGCTTGAATACAACACTTTGATTTCGCAGGCGATTGTAACACAGGATATCGAGCAGGGTTAAGAATGATGGCTGAATCGTGAAGGATTCGGCTCGAGGCTGAACCTATAAAAAAGATTTTCATGAGAAACGGCTTGGAAACTCATGCTTCTTTTATGCTCAACGCTCTAGCTGCGTGTACCTTGGTCGAAAAATCGCATGATGGACGACCAAGCTAGCTGAGCCGAGCAGAAGGAAACTCGCGGCATGGAGAGCATCAAAGAACATACAGACTACAGTAAAGAAGACTCAGAACATTTGTTTTTCTGTGGTTCTCCACATGGGTATAATGCTCGTGTAACAAAATCAAATCAAATCAAATCAACATGCATTTAGCACCATTCGCTGCGGAAAGGGCGGTGCTGAGAATTTCCCTATATACACAAGTGCTCTGAGCTCTGTCATGTCAACGAACGAATATCAGAAACGCCCTTGCTTACGCCAGGGAAGATCAAGTGGGCTAGACACATACCATTTTGTGATGACCATTGGACCAGAGCGATTGCTGAATAGTTCCCTCATCATGTCAAGCGAAAATCAGGATGACTGTCTACGCCATAGATTTCTTTTATGAAAGGTGTGAATTGAAAAAGAAAGCAATGACTTGTGTTCCCCGAGCAAGTACGGTCCACTAAACTACATTGGTTCGCCACGATAAGAATTGGAGATGTGATTGGAGATTTCATGACGGTGACCATCGATTGATCCGGGACGACTAGTAATGTAGGTGAAATTCGCTAGTGATTCGAAGATGAACTAGTCATGCCTTTTTTCCTACACTTTCATGGACGACTCTTATGCTGTATTAACGATTGGGTTCGGTAGGTTCCATGGCAGTCCTGAGTCTAGAGCCATTCCAAATTTCCAATCTCATGAATTTACTGAAAATAGGAAACTGAAACAGTATTTGAGGTTATTTTCTTCAGATTTCAAAGTGCCTTTCTTTCTATTAGTGAGTTTCCACTGAGCCTTTGAAAAAATAGCTACTCTAGTCAACGAATACATCGGTGCTTAGTAGGTTCGCATCATAGTTCCACCTGAGATGATGGGTATAGTGAACGGATTGTGTTCCGAATGCCGTGGAGAACGCGGTGAAGTGAGTTCAATCGACGAGGGCAGGCTGATGATCGTTTGGAGAATACCACTCGCTGAAGGTTCACTCTTAAATCTTCACTCGTCAATCCTTTTAGTATGAGCACCCATATTGTTGGCTTCAGATACACATTGTTTAACTTCAGTGATCGTCAACTTTTTCGAGCGATTGAAAACGATTACATCCGGGCTTGCATCTTTTGATTACGAACAAGATGGTTATATCGAGACGAAATTGATCAAACTTACACTTACGATCAATGGACGAGAGGTGAGTAACACATGGACATTTGGACATTAAGTAGTGGGCAGATTTACTATTAACTGTCATTATGAACGAGTACCTCTGTTTCACATCGACTTTTGCGAAAATAAGAAACAAACCAATATTCTATGTAATTATCACTCACTGATCACCAGTTGGGAGCCGCACACTAACCATAAAGAACGTACGAACGGAGATGACTTTTATAATCTAACAATAAGCTCGACCCCTTAGGAATCTTACAAAAGGTGGTCATGGGTTATGATCTTACACAAAAAGTTCGAGACGCTTGCCTCGGAGCAGATGAGCTGCTTTCCTCTGATTTGTTTACCTATTCATTCTTTTACCCACTTTCCCGGCGTCCGTACTTTTGGGAACAAAACGGAGATTATGTCCGAGGTTCGACCTCTTCAACTGATACCGAATTTCGAGGTCTCGTTGATCTCGACTTGTTCTCATAATTATAGTGAAAATCTAACATTATATCTAGGTGCCCGAATTCTCGCAAATTGTTCCTGCAGCCATGGCACAAGAACGTGCAAAGAGATTGGTACACAGACTGAAGAAGGAGATTCCTCGACAGCAGTTTGAGGTCACAATTAAAGGTAGTGTTACATTACGTAAATTACATAAATTCTCAAATACGTCTTGTTTCGTGAGCAGCATTAGCACGATCATCCGGATATTAGCTTTATTCTTGTTACTTGAGAGATGGGATCGCCTTTCACTAGCCGCTCGGATTGCCCGCCTAACGCCTAGCTGTCTTCCTCAATGTTTTTCGAAATGATCTGTTCTCTTGATTAGCCAGACAGCCCGACTTTCTAACGGCGGAGCGAAGCCCGGCGTGAGCTAGGCTCTGCAAACATACAGTACCGTTCAAAAAGAAATCACCTTGAACCTTTTCTGCCATAACTCATCTCAAACTCAATCTTTTTGACTGATTTTTTGATAGCACACTTTTCAAACATTACCGACTCTTCTACGATGCAGAATTGGCGGTAGCTCACTTCCGGCCAAGTGGGTAATTTTTTTTTTCAGAAAACCTGCGAAAGGAGCATGTTCTCCAGGTAGGTTTCATTGTGTTTTTCGAGTCTAGAAATATTGGTGATTCTTCTATTCTGTTAGCTGATCCCTCTCAGTGAAGAGACAAAACTTTGGCTCTCGCTTTCTGACCGTGGAACAGCTCTCCGCCATTGCTACGGGCAGTTAGCAGGAATTGACTCATGGTCAACATCCGAGGCTGTTTGCTGTACCAGAGTCTACGATTACGAAGGCTATCAGAGGTATTGAGTCTCCCATAGACCCAATCAGGCGAGCCAGCTCGGGAATGTTAAGGATCGCCACATCTGAGGACGTTAGGAAGATCATTTGTGCGTCGACTCAAGATTCCAGACGAGCATCTTCCGATATAATGGCCGAAATATCGACGAAGGCGACGTCACTACCATCTAGAATTACCATCAACAGACACCTTTGGGTTGCTGAAATATATGGAGGAAGACTTGTCAAAAAGTATCTGGATCTCTGAAAACAGACAAGCTCCCCTTTCATGGGTGCGTGAGCGCCTTCGCTGGACCTTCTACCAATGACGCGAAGTCATCTAGAGCGACTAGTCAAAGATTGTTTCGCTTGGTACACTTAGATTTCGTTCCTAGACGACCTTTTAAAACACAAGTCTCGACTCGACTCCAAGTAAAATTTGACAACCCTCTGGCATGGTGCCGGCTCAGTATTGGTTTGGGGATAGTCTCCGAGTCTAGGCATGGGGTCCATGCACCATATTCTCACCACCCAGCAAATGCACTTAGACATTTCGGAAGAACCCATGCTACCTTTCTCCCGTCTTGTGCACGGAAGTAAATTTACTTTCCAGCGAGATAACGACCCCGGACACAGATCTAGAATGGGCGCGCGAGTGACCAGCTCACCGGAAATTCGATGCCTTGACTCACCCAGGCAGTCCCCTGACCTAAACATCGGTGGAACCTCGTGGTAAAACTCAAGAAAAGGATAGCCGATAAAACAGTTACAAATGCTGCTCAGAGTTTTGGGCTATTTGAAGAGGAATGGAAGGAAATCGATGAGTGCCAGATCGACAAGTTGGTCGAATCAATTCCTCGCAGATGCCAAGATGCCATCGATCCCAACAGCTTCACTACAAAGTATTAGACTAGTAGTTAATTAGTTTTAATCTCATGATGATAGCGTTTGAGTCAAGTGATTTATTTCAAATTTTGAAACTGATGTTATTTTGTCCTGTTCAGAAAAAAATATGAAAAGTGGCCTTTTAAACGAAATAAAAAAGTTTCGTGAGTTCTGTGATGGAGACATTGAATATCATTACTGCTGGCAACATATCAAAAAATCAATCAAAAACATTGAGTTCGAGATGAGTTATGGCAAAAAAGGCTCGAGGTGATTTCTTTTTGAATGGTACTGTAGCTGTGCTCTTCACCGCACATCGATTAACCAGATGGGCCACGCACGCTAACGTGTGCAACACATTACCAAGTAGTCCGTATGGTTATGGGATAAAACAGTATCAGAATATTTCCTATCTCGTAATATGTCCTTCACAGATGTCCACATGCGCTCACGTGAAATTCACAATATTCATCGTGCCTACGTGACTTCCTGACGGAAGCACAAACCGGCATACAAACAGACACACAAAGCTGCCGCTTTGTATATGGGGAGATATTGATATGCTGCGTGATGCGTGGGCAGTAACACGACACAGTTGTCTTATGCAGTTCAATCAATACAGAGTGTGCACACTTGAGTTCCATGACATGAGCTAATTCTAATAGTGGCGAAGTGCTGGCCGAACTCGACAACGCTTGTGAAAAGATCGATTCCTGCGTGGGTCCAACAGACGCGATGTTAATAGGGAACGGTTGGTGCTGCTGCTTTAACACCGAATAACACGAACATCGCTGAGTGCTCCAGCAATACCGAGAAATTGAAATAATGAATGGCCCGGTTTCTGTTTTTGCTGATACCAAGGCAACGAATGCAACTGACGACAATGTGATGCTCGCTCGACGAAACTAGTTCTAAGGTGTTACAGGTTATAGGTATAGAAGTATAATAACTGGCAGCGGAATTCTGTGATTCATATTGCGCCGTGAACTGGTAACTCATAGAAGCATAATCACACAACAAGTAGCCGGCTAACAATGAACTATTCTGTTTTTAATGTTTTAGTTCTCCGGAACTTTTCAGTTGACCGTACTCATACAGGTCTCTTCCATAGCTAAGCATTCAACCAAACCATTCCAGTACTGCAGGAAACAAATCAAATTGTCGGCTTTTAAGTGTTCTTATCAATGTTATCTCCCGTCACACTTTACAGGAATGCTGTTGGGCCTCACCAGGCAGCAGTAATATTTTCCTTCGTGACCGTCGCGAGTTTATGTAGTCTAGTCGAATATCCTTGCTCGTAGGTCACGAGGTTCACGACTTATTTCCGTTCAGAGATTGAAATCTAAACATCGCGCTGGTATACGTTTTTGTGGTAGTTAACTCACCCACTGATGTCCGGCTCACCTGATCATCAGTCTCTTTGTATAAGCAACGATGCGCCTGATCTTTTTCTTGACGGAGTTCGGAAGTTCCTTTCTACAGTTGCGTGTGCTGGGAAAATTCTGAGCGAGCGCGGAACATGCACAGCGCGTTGAATGACCCTAAATTCATTACGTCTTGCTTTCGTGAAGTCGCAGCGTCGGAAGGGATAGAGCAAGAAAGCGAGCCAGAGCAATAGAGATGTTCCTCATCTTCTCCACTCCCTATCCCTCTATGTCTCTAAGGGTATAGTTCAAGATAACTTCGGGGTAGACAGTTACAGATGGAAGTGATAGCTCAGAGTAAAGGAAAGTTAGCCAAAAAATCGAAAGTCGTCGCATTCAAAGAAGTATAAGATTTCAAAAAAGCAAATTAGTGCTTCGACAAGACTGCTACGACAAAAGTTGGAAGGGGTGGAGTTATTTGGACAAGTTGTCCAAATGCGTGTTCCATTGCTAACAGCTAGCTATTGTAAGCTGCTTACGTGTGGTTAACGGTGTGAGTGGTGCAACCTATACAACCTCTACAACGCCGTGAGACTTCGTCCCCTTCGGTTGTATACGTGACAAGCCGGATTTGGAGTCCTTATAACGCACTATCTACGCCGTTTTTCGACCCGACAGCGTCCCCTAGGCTATTCTTTGTGGTCACAGGTTCATCCTACGGAGAAATTCAGAAGCAATTTTTGATCGTAAATAGTTCCTTTGATTCTCTCCACATTCTGCGTTAATTATGTGCATTCTGCTGCGTAGAATCCAACACTCTGAGTGGTATGTAAGGCCGAATCGTGTCGCGCTCGCCGCACACAATCGCGCGCAGTTGCGCTATAAAGGGGAATTTTGAGCTGCCGCTTGCCGTGGAAATTCGGGGAGAAGTACCGCCACCCAGATGACCGCAAGTCAGAAACACTGGCGTGGAGCTAGTTGCTCCATTCCTTCTTTACTAGCCTCCCAATGATCCCAATTCTCTTCACGCGACGTGTTCCCTTCTACTCAGCTCCCAAACTAGATCATTCACCATGCCGGCAATTCGATCTGGATACCGCGTTCATTTAGCGTAAATGTAGTGTGAATCCGTTTCTAGGGACTATAGTCTTCCTTGCGTTCAGTTGTATGCTTCTTTGGCAGAAATGGAGATATTCCGGTCATGAAAATGTTTTAGAGCTCACGAAGCATCTTTGATCGCGAAGACTCGGATTACCAGTTTGAATTTCGTCTTCTACAGTGTCAAAAGAATTCTGTAAGGCATAACGGTATTCTGTACACTCGATGTACTTCAGTGAGTCTTGTAATCGATAGCACCAAACCTCGGCGAAACCTTGTTTGCTCGCAGGCTGCATCTTCATTTAGTTTCCTGTTAATCATTCATATTAAGTACGGCTCAGGTGAAAGTTCGTAAATTGCCGATAGCAGATAGATTGAGTGGGAGCTGCCAATACCATCTGAATATTTTCTCATACGACAACACAGCCTTCTGCGATAGTCACTTTGTATTGCTACAGTAACCACGAGCCTAGCCAGGGTTTTGAGGATAACTGATCTTTCTAGATGTTATGAGCCGAGTTACAAAGCGCCGTACAATATTTAATCGGCATGATGGCTCGTCAAATTTCAGGAGGAAGAATTGAAGGAATCAAGAGTCCATCCTGGCCTAAGGTGGTAGGTGAGTAGATGACCTTGTACAGGGTGTCCCAGAATTATTTGCGCCAAAGTTCAGTAACTCTTAAGGTAGAAATAATCTATCAAATTCACATTACCGGTATTAATTAGTTGCATAAGAAGGTTTCCTTGCAATATGCATGGTTGCTGATGTGGACTCCCATTATCTTTCAGATGGAGGAGGCTCATTCAATGCCACTTGCAATCATTGACGCGCGAGAAGTGGAAGGGCGTTATGAAATTCTTTGGGATTTTTCCAATAACCATATAGGAGGCTATTAAACGATATAGAAAAGAAGAATGAATCAGAGACAAACCAGGAAAGATAGAAAGGTAGAATGTTTCTGAAGTTAGGACTATTAACATGGTCCGTATGCCAATCGGTCGGGATCCTGGGTGACCCATCAAAAGGAAGTCAACGGGCACGGCTTATCCGAGTTATCGCGATGGAAGAATGTCTTGCAGGAGCCTTGCTGCCGTTCCTATCGTATGCAGAAATTTCGCTTCAATTCCGATCTCAACAGATACTGCAGGGCCAAAAATGCACAAAGTCGAAGGTGGTGACACGCAACCCTTAGTCGTTTTCTCTGGTCAAGAAGTTTTTTACGATAAAGCCATTCCTCAACAACCAAAACGCTCGCGTTTCGGAAAGAAACATCTAGCGTGTAACATCTCACAAAAAGGTTGTTATCAGAACTGTAAAATGATGTTTTTCGAGGAAATCAATGGCAAGGGTAAGCCGCTCGTGGTATCTTCAGCGCAGGCGTGAAAATTAACCAAGGCTAGTACTCAAACGGCGTACTAATGGAAGTAAATAAAACATTGATCCGACTACGTTTTCTGAAACATCTCATAGCCCTTCCAGCAGGACGCTACCCCAGCCCACAGAGCCAAGTTTGCCCGCGAGTGGTGCCGACGACAGCTGCCCGACTTCATTGGTGAAGAGGAATGGTCATCCTATTTTCCAGAACTTAACTCACTTGAATCCCACGAATGGTCCCTGATTAGAAGAAGACCTGTCGAGTTTGCAGTCCCAGTTTGGAATCCTAGAATGCAAAAGCTGGAGGACGGCTGGGAAGAAATGGAGAAGGATACCTGCGTGCCACATGCGATCAAGTCGAAAGCAAACTTTGACTTCTATTCCGGCTCACGGGGGATATTTTGAAATGCAACTTTAGCATGTTGTAGCACATAGTGTTAGCTAGCGTGCATAGAAGTTCCATCGTCTTTCGCAGTGGAGAAGTTCCAAATATATTGCTATAAATCGGCGCAAATAATTTTGGGACACACTGTACATCACCCTTCAAGATGCTGTGACTTCATCGCAAGGACAACGCAAGGAAATCATCTTAGTCTTGTAGCTGACAAAGCTCCGTTGGGCAACGCAATCTTCTCTTCTTCAAATCTTCCTTATCGCTTCTCTGCATAACTTCGAAAGCTCGGTCGTGAGTTGGTCATTGCCTGTACCTTGCGCGGTTCCACACAGGCGTATCAGCTCGGGGATCTTCATAAAAAGACATCTCTAGGGAACTAGTAGACTCTCTGCTCTCCTATCGTGAAGGTGTTCGGCGAGCCGATTAGATCCCTCATCGACTTCGTCGATAACTGATTGCCCCAAAAACACGGAAGGGGGTGAAGTGATCATAACTTGAGACAATTACCAGGCTCTATTTCTTCAACCCAGCACCTCTTTCCATATTAGAGCGCATAAGAGACGATGATAGAAGTACGAAATAACGCGACGTCATTCACTCACGAATGATGATAATGTGATCTATTTTATGATGGGATAGTCTTCGTCTTCCAGGTGACTCAAAAGTCCGTCGCAAATGACAGGGTCTTTGGAACTGCGAATTACCATTTATGGTGAAGGTCGGCATAATAAATTCTCATATTCTTCCACCATGCTCATTCCACTTCGTTTCGTGAGTTCTGATATGTAATTATCAAGCCGATCTTCTAGGACCGATTTTTGCGTTGAGATCGCTGAGGTGGTTTCGAGGAAAGCCTCTCTGAAAAGCTTTTCTGGTCCATATGAAACGCTTCCTGCTTCTCTTCTCTGTAGCGCGTGGGTGTATAGGCAAGAAGTTAGTTGTTAGGGTTAGGGTGAAGCCACCCACTTTTTCATCGCAAACACTTCCAAGTGCCTACTGATGAGGACACCTACCCCGCCGATGCTTCTGCTGTGGCTGCTCTTTTGAAGTTTTTCTTCGTTTTGGAAAGCTTCTGTAGATGGCGAGATGCCTACTGTTCTTAGTCAGTCCGATGTTGTCATTCTTGATCTTCCTAGCTTGCATCATCAGATCTTCAGCACATACTTTCGGCGCGATCTTTCTTGATTAAAATATACAGATTGCTATTTAGTCGTTCTTCTGGACAGCCTATCATGGCGTTAAGATTTGAGCGGCCTCTTCCAAGCGCTGCCATATTTAGGTTCCAACTTTATGTTACTGTTTTTAGCATGTGATTACCCACAAGCAGCTTGCGGGCTCTGATGTGATGGTTGCCTAGACCGCAGGTAATAACTAGCCATTCTATACCCGAGTGGGCAAGAGGCTCACCTACTGGAGGTGGCCCGAATCGAGCTTTCAACTGAGCCTATGTGCAAGATACCAACCGCATCCGTAGTTTCCCCACGTAGGTAACGACATACTTTCGAGGAGACGGAAAGGGAAGATATAAGTGGTCTCAACTGAGCAGAGGCAGAGATTTCATCCCAGAATCCACAAGCGTCTCTAGGAAGGTACCAGTGACGTTTGTTCTGCGATTCACCCCTATCCGCCTTGAGGGGTGGGTCACGGAGTCTCGTCATAACCGGCTAGAGATCTCAGCGGCAGAAGACCTTCAGTGACGGAGATCCAAGGGTATAGTGACCACACTTCATGACAACGCTTGTTATGATGAGTGACAAAATGAACGAGACAGTGATAGTTGTTATTGATAGTATACACTAGCGCTCAAAAGTCTTCAGCCAAATGCTTCTTCAGTCGTACTTTTCAGTCGTAACTCCTTTCCTACTGGATCTAATCATGCGGAATTTCGATATGTGTAGCACGGGTGTATTGTGAATATTTATCACTGTTAAATTACAATCAGATCAATCTCAGATATCCCAAAGAGCTTGAACTCAAAATCAACTGGAAGTACGGATGATGGTCCTCCTAGAACTTCTTTTCTTTTTGCCATGTCTAAAGTGTACGAGCGCTAACGATGAAAACAGAAGAGAAAAAAAAACGCACATTAGGTGCGAATAACTGCAGACATTGATAACTTTGCTTTTAGAGAATCTGCTACTGCAACAAACATCTTACTCTAGTTATGTGGATACGGCTGCTTTGCAGTCAAATGGTGTTGGATAGTGTGAAATATGCTCTAGTTGAACACATAAGATTTCCTGCGGTTCGCTCCGCGAAAAAGCGAAAAGCGTTTGGCCGAAAACTTTTTAGCGCTACTGTATATAAGCCCATCTATGTGCAGTAATAAACCATTCTCACTCATATCCATCGCCTCATCCTACCGCGTCCACTACAAAGAGTTGTTTGGACTTGGTTGACTCCCCGTTTATTCCCTCTTAGCTTGGCTGGTATTATACCTCAAGTGAACCTTATTTTCCGCACGTTCCGCTTCCGCTCGCTGCCACTTACCAACAAGACGCTTGTACTTCTACTAGTATTTCAATGGTCCATGTCAATGAGACAGTAGTTATAAATTTCCACACAGACACCCATCCACCCACCCACCCAACACACACATACACATACACATACACATACACACACAAAATGAACACAAACTCAAACACAATCACTCCACACACATGCACATGCGCATGCACATACACATACACATACACACACCAAACATACATACACACCTATCACAGACACACCACACACTCATCAACTTTTTCGTGACTCTGGCAGCAGCATCATTCATGCAGTTTTCGCGAGGCATGGTTTTTGCAGATATGGATGGAAAATGCTCTGTTCGGAAAAATCTACTCCATTGAATATTCTTTCCGCGACGGCGTATTCAACTCTTTTTGGGATGTGAATTTCAGGAGACACTAACAAAGCTTGTTTAGGCCTTAGTGAAGAATCTGATCTTATAAATATATCCTTTGTCCCTATGAAGAGCATGGCTGATTATGAGAGAATTGAATTCTACTAAAACGCATGAGGCAAAATGGTTGCGGGGGGGGGGGGGGGGGGGAAGAGCGAGATTTACTGGGTACTCTTGGTTTGTGGAAGGCTCACTCCTTATTGGCTTATGTCTCATAGTGTCTCTTTCCGTAGGGCTATTCTCAGCCGTAATCAATTTGATTCATAGTGAGTTCTAAGCTTCTTTTCAATCAGATTACAGAGTAGGCTTGGGGCTTGGGGCTTGGAACTTGCTTGAAATGCACGAAGTCTCCGCTATTTCGTAGTTACTTGGTGAAAGGGAAAAAAGCTTTTTCTTTCTCGGATGGATGGAACGCTTCGCTCAAGCTGTTTTGTACGCTTTAAACTTCGCTGTTTTAGCATGTGTAGGACGCTCATCGAAAGCGCTTTCGCAAGTTTCCATCCAGCCAATGAAACGCGACTTCACACAGTTACTCAAAGGCAACTTTGGTGGCGGAGGTGAGGCAGTGAAGATAGTTAATCTCATAATATTAGTTTGGAAAGGTGTCCAAGTGAACCATGTTTTAGTGGTGTTGCCGTCACTGATCCGTGTGCTATGATTGAGATTTTTATTTGTTCCAGGTATGGAACGGTTGAACAAAAAGCTGAGTCATCAAAAAAGAGGCAAAGAACGCATGAAGATGATAGGAAATGTACAAATACCCAAAGAGGCATTTCTCAATGTGTTTAAAAATTAGGTTCATTTTCAGACGGTTTTTGATAATTCATTCTATTCTACTATACACGTAAAGTTGCAATGACATGTTGTTTCCATATTTTGTATACAATAACTTATAGTTATTTTTCTATCTTATATTGAACCAGTATTTGAGTACGAGTCTACAACAATTCGTCAGAATCAATTTCGAGTGCCGCATCGCTGGACTTTGCTTTTTGCTTCTGCAGTGGTGGTCGTTCGTTGTTAGAAGTTCTGAAAATTATGGGCAAATAATTTGAATCAAGCTTACATTTGGTTGCTAGGATTCACCTGTATGCGCCATTGCTTATATGAGTGCTCTGAGTCCCGCTTAGTTGAGACCCATACAAATCAAATGAGAGGCTTTTTGTTTTGGCACATGGCATATTGCGTGACGGGTGTTTAAAGCTGACCTGAAATACTAATGTTCTGCGCATTGTTGATGTTCAGAGGAAGAAAATCAATTGTATCCATGTTTGACTTTCGATGAATTACTATCATTTGCCATTACAAGGCGGCTACGCACGCTATTGCGTGTGCTACGGGCCCTAGCCATGAGGGACGGAGCCACATGAGCTTCTGAGATGTGACAAATACATATACAAGTGAAACTTGTTGTCCTGAGCATAAAAGACCCCAAATACAGTGGCGTTGGGTAGGAATGTTTGGCGTACGCTCAGGGTCACTACCCTAACAAAGGAGGACTACTGCCTTTGGAAAAACTTTCATTATGCCAACTCTTGCAAGGATGCGTATTGAATATCTGGTGATACAAACGGAAGAGAATGTGAATGTGAATGTTACTGTGCTGCTAAGACGATTACGCTCCAGGTTATCTTCAAGGAAATTCATTTATCAGGAGTCATGAGACGCGTACGGTATCGTGCGCAGGCCAACTGGTCGTACTGATCATCTGGATATAAGTATAGATATAGATACCTTTTTCTTCAAACGCTTCCAGTTCAGATGTGGCAATCGGAGTGGTGAATGCTTCCTGAAATTAGACAGAATATATCCACAAACACAGTCCTGGGAAACCGTAACCACGCCGCCTTATCGCATTTGTCATGTGGGCCTGTGAGCGACTTTCTGGGCAAAATTTCGGGTTACTCCACATTCAGCCGGCGTTATTATTAGGTATACTACAAGTACATCGAAAGAAATGCAACTTTGCAAAATCGAAAATATCATGATTTCGCAACAGACACACGGCACAAAAGAGCTAGCTCCAGGGGTTCAACTTGCTCTAGTGTGGGTATTTCCGTAGATAGAACAGACTCACTGACTGTCTGCAGAAGTCAACGAAGCCAAGCTATTCCTTCGAGCGTTTTGGAAACTCTCCGGTATTGGAATATCGAACTCGGGTAGACCTTTCTTCAGCCGTCGTTCTGCCAACGCAGTGCGTCTTTTGTTACGTGCTAAAATTGAATTTTCATTTTTGAAGATGCTTGTACAAACAAACATGCTCCATGATAATGTATCGTACTTGATACGCGATGGAACTTTAAGCATTATTATTATCAGTCGTGCTAATCACACAGCAATATTAACTATTTGGTTAAGTTCAGTTAGAATGGTGTAAGCGTACCTGGAATCGTTGCAGTGCTGTCTGCAAATAAAACGACATTTTGAAAAACTTTCCATGTTAGCCTAAGCTTCTTACGGAAAGAGTCTTCGATACAAAAATGTGGTCTCTTTTATTCCTGTTTAAGTGTTTATATACTACTTGTATGGGCGGAGGTGGCGTAGTGGCAAGTGGAACACTATCTCGCACGCACGTGAGGGGTTTGAATCCCGGATCGGTATCCGCATACGCCAACCAAGCCGTTAAGGTTAAATGGTATCAGACTCGTCTGGGAGGATTAAAGCACTGACTTGCACATCGGCTGGCCACCGCAAGTCATTGTACAGGCCACTCGAATGCGGGGGCGCATCCCTCAGACGGAATAGCTTAACGCCAAAAACTATCCGTTTCCCTTAATTATGCTACTTGCATAATCCGCTAATTGTGCCTGTTAGTGTGTTATGTGTATGTGTGAATATGTGTGTATGTCTAACAGCAAATTCATAACTGCTGTCCCAAATACTTAGAGCGTTCAAATTTGGTAGGAGTACATGCGGCGGGATGGGAACACTTATGGTGGGTTGTAGGACCGATCTCCGCTCACAGGCGGCGGGGTTTGTGCGAAATAAGCGGAAACTCATAAGTCCTGCACTCGTGGGCCTAAAGCGTTCAAATTCGGTAGGAATACAGGAGACAAGATGAGAACATTTATGGTAGGTGGACGGGCAAGACTCCATCAACGGAGGCGGAGCGTGCGTGGGATGAGCGTGATCTCAGTGAATTTGCTCGGTCATATTGAAAAAAATGAGGGGAATGACCAATTTACTTGAACATACGTGAGTTAAGCAGAACTCCTCTCTAGACAGGCGAGATGCTCACAAAGTGGTTGGGTGGTGTGTGTGTTTAGACGAGGAACTTCCTATCCTGTTCTACTGTACCAGAGCGTAACAATTCGGAACATGCTCATTGCCGCGACGGAAATGGATCTGTTCTTTTGCGTGGTCGTTGCCTTTTAATTGCAGCATGGGGGGCGACCGAGCTGAGTTAGAGAAAAGGCACTGACGATACTGCACTGTAATCTGCCTTTTTTGACTGAAATGCGTTTCTGTTGACGCTCATTATCTTCATTTCGCCGTGGTTTGCAAGGATTTCCCGGTGAGCAATTCAACTTCTGCTCCACCAAAAACACTTCAATTCTTTATGTGGGCATCCTTCGTTATTCCATACGCTACTTCCACCACCTGTATCGCGGATTTTTTTCCCTTGACTCTTCAGTTGATAGTCAATAAGCATCTACAGTGACAAGTTCCTCTAAGGTCGTTCCATTGCAACAATTTGGTGAAAATTCGAGTGTGTTCCATTTCATCGCTGCGGGACAATACGTGCGGGTTATTTCGGACGACGGACGATTTTTGTTTGGTTGACATCATACTTCGCCAGTGTTGTCATGCTTTCGTTATTTAAAGGCACAGTTCACGATTATTTTGGGTAACCCAGATTATGACGAAAAATGGAAGATAAGATTGAAAATAGTGCGACTGAGGTGAAGAAACTGCGTGCATCGGTGTTTCCAAAGTGAAAAAAAGGCTTCAAAAAACCGTTAAAAAGGGGGGCGGACGAGAATGAAACCAGAAAACTGAAGAAGAGTGGGGCGTCCGGACGAGCTGAACATTGTGTTTCACTGCGCGCATGTGAGTCCTGGTGCGAATAACAGTTAATGGTAAGCAAAAACTCATCCACTTATAAGCATAAGTAAACAGAAAAACACTAGCTACAGCATAATAGCTCACCTTTTTCGCGGCAGCAAGAAGAATATCACGGCAGCAAGAAGAATAACAGAGGAAAAAGGTAGGAGAGAAAAACATCGCCTCATCACTCGGCGATCAGCTGATTGCGTGTGTGTTCTAGAACGAATAATAGCAATCTGTATTGCATCTATGTCACTCGTCTGACGTGACATCGATCGAGAGGTGGGAAAGCAACTCAAGCCAGCAACAGGGCTTCCACCATGCCCTGACCGTCGAGATTTTGGTAGCGACAAGGTCCCTCCTTCCATCCATGTGGGCCACCCAGTATTCCTTAGGGAAGAACTAAGTAATCATTTTTATCGTGAACCGTGCCTTTAAAACGGCTTCCAAATTCCTAGAAACCGTTGGAATCCGATAATTGACCTCTCCTATATTGTCGTTCAAGCTGGTCTCACTTGATTTTAAGCGTGTAATTATTCCGACTTTCTCTTCTACTGATTGTTCCTCCGCCGAAGAGACCGTCGAAATAAAACGACTTCCTTTTTCGTTGTGATGGGGCATAATGTGGCAAAGCCAAACATGATCTTCATCATGCATTCTTACAATGCTAAACAGTAAACTTGTTGAATAAAGTAATGAGACAGGAATTTCTACAAATAAAAAATACTATACGAAATAACAAAATGAGCAATGGGTGATCTCGCATCAATCTAGTAGAAAGGGATCACGTAATTATGCGGTCTCTCGGAAGACCACGTTAAAAATAATGAGGTTTGTACGCTAAGTTCCTTTGGGAGTACAATGGAAAATCTCGAGGCAGTTTAAACTCACTGTGTGTTTTCTGAGTGATATCCGTATGGCCGGTAATGAAACCAGCTGATCGCAGAATCCCAAGAAGTTCATAGCGGAAGGCACTGATGTCCTAGAATGAACACGAAGATGTGACTGAAGGAAAAAAGACGCCTCTCAACTATCCTACATTCATAAGTGGTAGCCTAGATTCCCCCTGACGCACAGCATCAGATACGTTTGATTTTGACACTGTGAGAATTGTCCGAAGATCTCTCTACCTTTCAAAATCTCTGCACTCACGCATGTTAGTTCATTTTACAAAAGGAAGTTATTTTTAAACTTTGAAATCTGAATCACATTCGAGCAAATTTCAAATACCGAACAACTCTTATTCATTTCTGCGTGTTTCCATGGCTGTGTGCAGGAAAGGGAGCACGAATAGTAAAAATAGGTTTGACTGCCTGGGGGGCACCATCTCTGAGCAAATTCTTAAATATTGCTGTTCCTTATGTAGAACAACAGTATTTGGCCATCGGTTAGGGAATAACCTTGTGACGGGAGCAATCATTCGAGTGAGGCTTCTACAGTGCTCGCAAACACTGCAGATTGATTGTTTCTCTTACCAAACGGCGAGATTCCTATTACCGATACAAGCGAATTAATGATCATTTCAAGTAATAGGGAAATTTCTTTACGTTGGAAGTTCCGTAGAGATGCCTATTTTTCTTTTCAATAAAAGTGCGTCTTCCCCTAATGAAGGTTACAAATAGCTACAACATGCAACTGCACGTTATTATGCCTTTGCTTATATGCACAATAAATGCTGTCTCTTTTTTGATTATCAAGATGTGAGAAATAGAGTGAGCGATTGATGGTCTTCACTGAGAAGCCTTTCTTCTTCATTCAAGATGACAAAAAGTTCATGTAAAATTCATTACTTCACTTCATTCCGTTGGAGTATTATTTATTGGACGGCAGTTGCCAATCATCACACACCAATCGTAAATGTTCTAGTAAACGGGTTTCTTTTGGTGGAAGTTCAAATGTAGGAATTTGGCGCGGAATTAACAGGAATAACTACGAAACTATTACTCAATGACGTAGACAAGTTTCCAGAATTGCATTGCGGAAGCCAAACGTAGGCCACGGATCACGTTTACAAGAATCCAAATTGGTAACTTCTGTCCAGACGCAACCGATACTATATATACTTATACTTATGGGGTCGCAAACACCAATTAACGGTACATATCGATTATTGCGACAAATGTACTGGAACGGCTGAAGTTCAATCGAACTAACCAGGGAAGGATCCTAATTCGAAGTGGCCATGTGAAATAAGGCCTATACTGCTAGACGTGTTTTGGGGCGCTGAAATCAAATCCGCTTTCCAAATCTGCCAAGCGATTTTCTGAACGGAGTTATGAGGGCGGTTCTAGGTGACATTACATGAGAAAACTTAAATCACATGGAAGCAGCTTGCTCCTCAACGGCGGCTTGGTGTAGTGGTAAGTGTGACGCTTTATGGGCGAGAGGCTAGGGTTCGGATTTTGAGGGAGACTGAGTTTCTGCACTATATAGAATTTTTCCCTCCAGGACTAGGAAATACTCTCATGGTGATTTTATCACGTTTTATGACCTTTTAAGGCTTTTGCCGATACTTATCCACTTGAGTAATACATCAGTTTTATTCGCATGCCCATGCACTCTATATTCACAGCAGGATTCAAAGTAGGGTAACTTTTACCACTTTATGAACAAATGTGATACTCTAGCACGAAATGCTTGGAACAAAGAAATTTTTTACAATGGGAGAAACGGATGAAAAAGAACTCGTCACAGCTCATTGCTTTACACTCACTAACCCCAAATCAGAAGGAAAACGAATTGAGTTGGCGTCCCAAAATCACCCGGGTAAGTGCTCAAGTAGCCGGCGGCATACCATGAATAGAAGAGAAATTTTCAAAATCTTATCGCCTAGAACTGAAAATAGACAGGCGATAGTAAGCAAAGAATGGGGTCTCGTGTGTACACGTAAAAGTTGAGATCATGAGCTATTACTTATGAGGTGGTGCGTTTAACCATATTTCTGGGAAGAAATAAGGAATGAGCTTCTATCGGCTGTATTAGCCTCGTGGTAGCCCGCGCAGGGTGTCATTCCCTTCACCTGCTTTTGTGGACGTGAGACGCACTGAATCTTTCTGGTCTTTGAATGATGTCCACGAGTCCACTATCAACAATGCCGGTGTATCTGAGTCCGGGTCTGCTACGCACCATCGCACCTAATCTAGCATCAACACCCACTCTAGCAACATCATTGCTCATCATATGCGCCGCCCGGACCTCAAAATTTTGCGTAATTTCCCACTCGGTAACAGGTAGGTAGGAGAAGGTATCAGCAAAGCATTAAAAGATCATAAAACGTGACAAAATCACCATGAAAGTATTTCCTAGTCCTGGAGGGAAAAATTCTATATT